GCTGCTCCCGAGGGAGCGCACCCCGTAGCCGGGTGCAGTGAGTGCCTTGGGGCTGGGTGGCCTGTCCTCTGGACGGGCTCAGCCCCGGCGACTCGCTAGGGTGCCTGCCCAGACCAATGTCTCCCCCTATATCCTATCATCCTTCCGGCTCTGAAATGGTCTCATTGGACCGAAAGGGCCTAACCCAACAAAACGAACAAAAACCGGTGACCTCTGAGGTCAGGTCAAGTGCCTCAAGGCACGGTTCCGTTTTTGGTGAATAACTTCGCAAAAAATGGCCGCAGAGCCGCGATTTTGCCAGCATCGTGTTCGCCTCTCTCAGGCGCGTCGAATGATATACTTTTTGCTTGGGTGAGGTAAACTTAGGGTGTTGACCTCGGGTCACGGTCAGGTCGGCGTCCCCAGGTCATGAAATTGGTCGAAGGAGGTCATGTCGCATATCATTCGATTCGGCAGGTCTTCTTGAGTCCATAGGTGGCTTTCCCGACTCGCTAGCTCAATTTGATCGGTACGTAGTTATTGACGAAAAACTAATAAGACCCTTATAACTTCATAAATGACGTCGCGCAAGGTCAACATTGCAAAAGTGACGCATCGAACCTTGCAAGGAGTGCATCAAATCACGATTCGGTGTGCTTGAGATAGTTGGAGATCGATCGTTCCCGGCGCCAGTAAAAGTTTTCAGTTTATCCCCATTGACTTATACCTAATGGTGAGGTCACGAAAATGACCTGACCTCATATGAACTTTAGGAAAAATCCGAGATATACATTATACAAGTTGAGAGACTCCTATTGGATACTAGGTCCTCCAAGGTTCATTTCCCTGTGAAATCTCCTCTGGCAGTGAGGGCGTTGCGAAGTTGCGACATCTGAAGACCATGCAGAGGTTCACTTATGACCACATGGGTCAGTGACCTGATCTGACCCGAAAATGCGGTTGGTGTCAAAAGATCCCGTTTGATTCAAAGGTCAGGTATGCCAAGCTTCAGCTCTCTATCGCCGGCGTGTTCGGAGCTATCGCGAAAAAAAACCTATGGAGGGGCGGCACCCGCCCCCCCCCCCCGGCCGGCGAGGGTTAAGGCCCTCAGAGACCAGTACAGGGCCTGCAAAGGGCAGGATGAGACCTTAAGATGCCGACTTGGGCCATCAGAGGCTAATGTGGGTCCTTACAGGCCAGTATGGGCCCTCAGAGGTCAGTGTGGGACCCTAAAATGCCGGCATGGGCCGGTGTTGGACCCCAGAGGCCAGCAGAAGACCCTCAAAAACCAAGATGGGCCTCAGAGGCCGGCATCAGGTCTTCAGAATCCCGTGCAAGGCCCTCAGAGACTAATGCGTGTCCTTACAGGTCAGCATGGGCCCTTAGAGGTCAGTGTGGGGCCCTAAAAGACGGCGGCATGGGCCGGCGTTGGACCCCTCAGGCCAAGGTGGACCCTCAGAGGCCGATGCGGACCCTTAGAGGCCGGCATCGGGTCTTCAGAATTCAGTGCGGGGCCCTCAAAGGCACCTAAAGGCTAGTCTTGGGACCCCAGAGACAGAAATGAGGCCACCAGAGGCCGGTGTGAGGCCCTCAGACGCCGGCTGGGCCCTTGAGGCCGGTTTAGGGGCCCTCAAATGAGGTCAATGTGGGTTCTCAGCGGTCAATGTGGGCGCTTGACCGCCTTTGAAGGGCCCTCCGAGATCAGTGTAGGACCCTCAAAGACTGGTTTGGGAGCTGTTAATAGCTAGCGTGGGATTCTTGAGTCTCGTGACAATCGAATAAGGGCCAGAGCCCCATACGCCCATGGGGGCCCATTGGTTGTTTGGGGGGGGGGGCAAATGATATGATGGCCCCCTGATTAGCCTTTGGAGGGGGGAAGGGCATGGCCCTGATCCCCTCTGCGACCGCCACTGCACTGAAAGTGGAAGGGGGAGGGGCAGAAACAGACATTGCTGGCCCCCAGCCTGTTTGAACCGAGGCTGAGGCACGGTCACCCTGGCCCCCAGCTAGTACGCCTTTGACGAACTATGCCGACCCCAAGCAGATATGTAAGGTCAAGCGTTGGTCGTTTGTATACGCATTCTCCTGCACCGTGCTAGTATTGTCTTAGTATTGCCTATACCTTTTTAGTGCTCGCTGTCCCGCGCCTCGTATTCAACAAAATGCTGTCACCAGGACTCACAGGCTTGTCTCTGATATGGTTTCCTTCATTGAGTGAAGGAAATTGCGGTCAATAACGCTGTAGAAACAAAAAGGAATCCTCATTAAAGGGCGAGCTGAATAGTTGTCAAGTTACCGGGTGGTAGGTTAGGTACAGACAGACACTTAAGTCAGCAAAAAGTGGGGGGGGCCAGTTAACATTGCTGGCCCCCCCCACCTCCGAAAGTGGGGGGGGCCATGCCCCCCCCCCCCCCCCCCCCCGCCCCCCCCCCCTGTTCCTACGCCTATGGTGGGATCCACACAGATTATAGATCCATGTTCTTGGTTTATCGTCAGATCCTATGAGATAATAGATCCAATACATATTTTTTCACGTTGGATCCGATGGATTACAGATTCTAGCATGCAGTTTACTCCGAGATCCACCGAGATCATAGATCCATCACTCGGATCCATGCGCATGTCTGGCAGCTAGTGTAAAAACAGTGAAGCTACTGGCCGACAAAATGGTCATACTCTATAGAACATCCCCTTGTCATCATCATCATCATCATCATCACATTTATTTGCATCACACACACAATGTGAGGTGACAAGGTGAGGTGACAGTTATAACAAGTAGCAGTACATATACATTGGGCCAGGTAGGTACATACATTAATGCCTGCAGAACAATGCTAGGCCACGCAAGGACATTCACAAGAGCCAATCATTGGACATTCTAAAACCATCGATAGTACCTATACTTTAGTTCAAGTTGTGTGCCTGGTGCTTTCATTTGTGACTGTTATGAGCCTAAGAATTTTACGCGAATGAGAGCAAGTGCTGTTGAGCAGGAATTTGATTGTGTCCACAATTCCATCATTCATACAAGAGCCACGAATAAGCTCACCATCAACATTGCCACATGCTATGTTCATTGTAACTTCAAAATTATTATTTCCGAGGCTATGTGTAAAGCTCAAGAATGATCCGTCTAACTCTGAAGGCGTAGTAGCTAGAACAGCAAGGCTGCGAATCATTATCTGCTTAAGCCTATGATCCGAGCGAAACAGATGAGCAAAGCCGCGAAGCGTAAGCGATCGGAGAAGCTCTTGAACCTTAGGAATGCCAAGCGCTGACATTAGGGCAGAATGATGGGCATACACAGGGAGCCCAATGGCTGCCTTTACACTAGAAGATTGAAATAATTCCAGGTTACTTATGTCAGCAGCTCTCAGTGCAGCAACGATGCTCCCAGATGTCAAAGAAGGGACTACAATCGTGCGCCATAGAAAAGCTTTGTCTAAAGCAGACATAGCCTTGCTAAACATTCCTGCAGGTGTGAGCCCGTAAAAAGCTCCACGGGCACGTCTTACTCGAGACCGCGCATGCGCTGAGCCACGTAAATCAGTGCTGATGGTCACACCTAGATGCTGTGTTTCAGAGCGGATAGATAACTGCTGACCGGCCAACTGCCATGTAGGCAGCTCAGCTAAATGTTCAGCACCAAAGACAAGGCAATGACTTTTAGTTTTAGACTGATCAGGGTGAGTGAATTCGAGTCTCCAAGTGCCCGCGAACTCCCCCACAATGCTTAAAAGATGGCCAAGACTCATGGAGTTCGTAGAAACAAGCGTTATGTCGTCAGCGTAACAGATCGAGGGGACATGATATCCCATTAGTTCAGCCCCAAGTCCACTATGATCAAGAGTCTGTATTAAGGGACGAAAAAATATGTTAGCCAGTACTGGGGAAAGGATGGCCCCTTGCCTCGTCCCACGTTCTAGTGGGAAACTGTCGGAACGAAATACGAATGCCCATAAAGTCAATTTTGGCAGTAAGCTTGCGATACCACGAGAGAAGCAGACACCACGAGCGATTCTCAAGCAGATCAAGAAGACGATAGAAAAGACCGTCATGCCAAATGCGGTCAAAACACTTTCTGGCGTCTAAATTAGCGACGAATACAGGAGATCCCCTTCTTAGGTGCCACTGGAGGACAGTCTCAGAAAACAAAAGAGAGGCTTCGGCTGTTCCACGCTGTGGAACAAATCCAATCTGTAGATCGTGTGGAACGAACGATGTTTCAATTTCCTCTTAAACCATTATCTCTAACAATTTAGAGAAAGTTGAAATAAGTGAAATTGGTCTATAATTGTCCTGTGTCCATATCACTTGGGTCAAGTCCAGTTCTTTTAAGCAAAGGCTTGATGATGCTGGTTGCAAATGATGAAGGGACATCCAATCTAGCAAAGCAAGCTGTAAGGAGGTGAGCTAACATGGCAAGCAGTTCAGGCGTGGAGCCATACAGCAGGTGCTCTGTGGTGATTCCGTCTGCTCCTGGAGCAGAATTACGCCTAAGGCGCAATATAAATCGGGAAACATCCGATGCGGTAACAGTACGAGGTTCGTCACCATTGCACCCAGCCTCTAAACGAGCAGATACAGCATCGCGGATCCAGTGCTGGTTTGGTGACAATTCAGCTACATTGTCCTGATGAATACGAGAAAAATGGGATCTGAAGCTGTCTGCGTCTACGGAGCATTCAGCAACCGTCACACCTCTCCGAGCTCTACTAACATGCATGTCGCCAAAAGGAGCCTAAACTTTCCCCACGGCGAAGCTTGTGTAACAGCCGTGCCTCATGATCAATTTTCGATCGAGACGCATTCTCTGATTCCTTGTCACATTCTCTGAAAATATTAAGTCCTAATGACCCCAGGCCGGGTCACTAAAAAAGATAATGTTGAAAATATTCTTGAAAATCCTCTCTTGAAGCAATTTTGGGAAGTTGGAAGCTCTCATGCTTCCATATCCGACAAAAACAGAGACATAAATGGCGCGTTTAAGACAACTGAAATTCGCGCTCTATTCTTGCGGGCGCGTCACAAATGACAAAACACGTCGGCCTCATGTGTTTTGTTGTGGTGGTTTATATAGCCTTGGTTGTGGTGATGCATGTGTCTTCATTCTTGTGTAATTTCAGCGTGTATTCCGTGTCACTGCTATTAGGTTATTCACCTCAGTGGCTTTGAATTTTATTGAAGATGCCTGATATTAAAATAAGCCAAGTAATGGCTTTCAGCAGTGAAGATCCGGTAAGCACTTATGGTTTTGCAGTTCAAGTTCAAGTTCAAGTTCATGACATTGACATCAAAACGAACCTTAACTGCTAGCTGTCGCTAATTAGCCCACAAATTTTCATTTTCATTTCAGTTTTGTTTTTTATTTCGGTTTTTATTTCAAGTTAAATGGACCTTGTTTAAGTGTCTGCGGCTGCCATGGCTCCCGTATTAAAAAAGGTGGATTACCCGCATTATTTGTATGCTACTTGCTCTTTACTACATACCTGTCCAATAAATCTACATTTGCTGCCTTTTGTTGCATACATTTATGTTTCAGTTAATGTTTCAGCAGCCCATTAAGTTTTATATACTGGAGTTTGTTTTTGTTCCAGCAAACACACCAGTCGGGGGAGGTTTGGTCAATCGTTGTCATTTTTAGCAACTGCTATTTTTGTCACACGTGCTAAAAATGACAACGATTCTGCTATTTTTGACAACGATGAGGCCGATCTCACTCCTCAGCGAGGAAATCAAGATTTTGGAAAGATAAACACTGATTTTGGAAAAGAAATGCTGCCACCTGGTGCAAGACGAAGAAGCAAGCTTTAATATGCCCGTTATTTGTATGGTAGTTTGTTTTGTGGCCTGAAGTTGGAACTTAAAATTGAAGCATCCGAAAATGATCGATATTGATCGAAAACATGATGTTGATGAAAAAAATAATATTTTAAGTTGAGAGAGGAGGCCATTTTATCCAGATGCAGTAGTTTACTTCTTGAAATTATTTTTGCTAATGACGGCTGCTAATTATCCCTCATTACATGGCAGTCGTCGTAAGCAAAAATAATTTCAAGAAGTAAACCACCGCATCTGGATAAAATGGCCTCCTCTCTCAACTTAACATATTATTTATTTCATCAACATCATGATTTCGATCAATATCGATCATTTTCGGATGCTTCAATTTAAAGTTCCAACTTCGGGCCACAAAAAAGGGTATACTTCAACGTTGGACTACCATACAAACAACGGCCATATTAAAGCTGGTTTCTTCTTCTTGCACCAGGTGGTAGCACTTCTTTTCCAAAATCAGTGCTTGTATTTCCAAAATCGTGATTTCCTCGCTGAGGAGTGAAATCGGCTTCATCGTTGCTAAAAATAGCTGATAGCGTTGTCATTTTTAGCACATGGTTGCCAAAAATGGCATGTGCTAAAAATGACAACGATTGACCAAACCTCCCCCGACTGACACATTGATTTAATTGCTCTTTCAGATCTTCTTTTTCTTGACCTACCAGTTTCAATCATAACCTGCAGCAGTGCACAGCACTTGTTCCATCAATATTTATTATTCATATTTTTTCTGTGAAGCTCATTTAGCCTTGAAAGTTGAAGCTGCCCCTGTATGACCATTCATGATTCACCTAGAAATTGTTTGATTGCAGGGTTTCCCAGCAAATAATTTGCTATGCACTGAGAGCTACAAGAAGTGGAAGAGCAAAAGTGCTGGTGAAAAGGAAGTTTCAGTGCTGCTAAAATTTGAGAAGAGTTCTGAAATAGATGCTGTTCATATTGGAAATGAAGGCTCTGCTTTTGTTGAAATTTTGGTTGGAAAACTGGGAGAGGATGTCAGAGATTTTCAGGCGAGTCTTTTTATCGAATTTGTACTTCTGAAAAAAATAATATATGCAACTGATATCATCTTACCTAATGAATACATCAAACCAGAAAACTAATTAGAAAAGATATGCTTATTCATATAACCCTGAACAAAGCTGTTGATGCTCCTAGAATTTGGTGTAAAAATCAGTGATGGAATCAGTGCAGCCCTTCTCCCCACTAACCCTCTACCAAGTGCTGACCCCCTCCCCTCCCCTCAGGTGCTGCTACCCACCTCCTCGTTCATGAGCCCGGCCGAGTCGCGCGGCGGAACCAACCCGGGCCGGGTACGTCTGTTCGACCGCGACAAACTGTCGGCGGCGGCGCTGGGCCGACCGTGGGACTGCGCGCGCGTCGTCTGCACCCAGCCGTTCTGCCGCACGTCTCCCTACGGACTGGCGTTCGTGCGGTTCCGGAGCGCCGAGCAGCCGGAGAAGCAGCCGCAGCAGACGGAGAAACAGCCGGCGCAGCAGACGGTGCGGCTCGGGGCGTTCACTCTGAAGCCGGAGTCGGAGGATACGATCCGCACCGGGGGCCTGTTTAACCGGCGGGCAGAGCTGGGCGCGGCCGCCGGTGAGTCGCTCGACCAAAGGAGAAAAAGGGGAGGATGAGTGCAAAATGACTGGAGTAGTTAGTGCCGCTAGGGAGTGGCGCCGTCGGGAGAAGAAAGGAGGGCTGGATTCGAAATACAATGTGATGGTCTGGAGTCTGGAGGAAGTCGAGCTCATATGAAGTCTTCGTCGTTTATTGGTGCTTAGCCGTACAGTGACCTGTTCTTTTAGTTGCCATTAAGTGATGCTGTTTTTCCTTTTTATGCCATTCGGATAAGTTTTATTTTCTCAAGCGGTATGCTTCCGTACGGGCGCCGAATGACAATGACATTCCGAGTAGCCTCCGATGAACTCTAACATGAACGCACCTCCATATGCACAGACCAGAGATAGCTTTGTTACTTCTGGCCGCAACAATGATGGCCCTTGACTTGTGTGTCCTTTCGCAGGTGGCGGGACTCTGAAGCGGGACGACCGCTCTGACCGTGTGGTGCCTCCGCGCCGTCCGCCGGCCGACGCTGTCGCGAGCTCCTCCTCTGAGCAGGCGCCCGAGCCAACCGGTCACTACCAGCTGAAACCGGAGACCAAGCAGAGAGCACGCCCCGAGAATACCCCCGTCCGCAACGGCGGTAAGTGCTGGAATGACACACTATAGTTCGTTTTTCTTAAGTTTGCCCCTCACTGTAAACGTCTTTTTGAACATAGCACGAGAATTGCTAGCTGGATTACTGAGAAAACTGGTTGGCGCACATTGATTTCACCATATTTCACAGACGATTAATTTTGTCAAATTTGTTTACTATTTCACAGACTCATAGCTCGTATTTACCCATACCTATACAGCTCCACAGTGAAAGACGACTTCTCAGGAATTATGTCTGAACTAATTAATAAATTGCACGGCGTTTAACATTAACGTTACATCGTCTGTGTTCAAAATTTATTTGGAAAATATTATTCATATCTCCAATACAATGTGCGCCAACCAGTTTTCTCAGTAATTCAGCTAGCAATTCTCGTGCTGTGTTCAAAAAGACGTTTACAGTGAGGGGCAAACTTAAGAAAAACGAACTATAGTAAATCATGAGCGATAAAATCGATAGTGATTAGTGGTCTTCTCCCTAGTGTGAAGACCGCTTGTTTGAGGCCGAATTGCAAGACGTCATTGTTGCTGTTAAGATAATGCCCATATTTGACGTGTTCGCATAAGGATGGGGCTTACCTCGTCGCCAAAGCTTCGTTGAAAAGCTCAAAAATTTGGTGCAATGATGTTTGACATGCTAGAGCTCCAGCTGAACTTACTCTACCGTTTGTTCTCCATTTCAGCGAAAGCTGGCACGTCGTCCCCCTCCGTCCCGGCCGCCGCGGCTCGGCCAAACGCTGCTCAGAACAAGGCGGAAGGCATCCCAAAGAGGCCAGCTTCAACTCCAAAGGGGCCAGATACCGCCCCAAAGAAGCCAGATACTACCCAGAAGCGTGATCAGAAGCCGGCTGCTCGCGGCGCCGGGACCGGTTCGTCCGCACCAACCAGTAACGGCGCGGCGGCCGGCTCCGGCGACGCCAGCGCCGCGCCGCGGCCGCCCGCAAACGCCATCTACCGTCCGTACAAGAAACTGCTGTCGGGCGTGGTGTTCGCGATGAGCGGCTACCAGAACCCCCGGCGTGGAGATCTCCGAGAGCAGGGCATCAAGCTGGGCGCCACGTACCGGCCCGACTGGGGGCCCGGATGCACACATCTTATGTGAGTCTCGCCTCTTTCCAGCCTCTTCCTCACATCTTAATCTTCCTCACATCGTAAGGTAGATATTTTTAGGTCTGGGCAAGTTCGTATTGTCCTGTAATCTAAAATTTCCAGCCTGATGTTAATTAAAACATTTCCAAGCAGTGCTATTTCATGGCGAATATGTGATGTCTGTGTCTAGAGAGCGGAAATTGGACTATCTGAATTGTGGTTTCGCGTTAGGTATTTCAGCTATCTGTTATCATCTGCTAGAATTATGTCCATTTGTAAATAGAATATGCTGGCTTTCCTCCCCCAATATGAAGACGATTGGTTTTGGAATTTCGAATCCAGGCCAGAACATGTTGACCACTTACGTATCCGCTAGCTTGATTTGCTTGTTACTTTGCTAACACTCCACCTTTTTTGCCCGTTCATCAGCTGCGCGTTCCGGAACACGCCCAAGTTCACGGCGGTGCGCGGGAAGGGTAAGATAGTGCGCGGCGAGTGGCTGACCGAGTGCGCCAAGCAGCGTCGCCGGCTGGGCTGGAGGAAGTTCGCCACGGACCCGTCCGACAGCCGGCAGCCGGACAGCGGTGACGAGCTGTGGGCCGAGGACCTGCGACCAGCGCCGCCGCCAGGTGAGGGGAGGGGTGCACGACGGGCTGGTGAGGGGATGGAATGGAGAGAGCCTCGCTTCGGTGATAGGAGAGAGGGATGGTCCAGTTAGAAGAGGAAGCGCTTCGATCCTGGGAGGAGAGAGGATAGTGCGAATTCTGGGGAAAATGGAGGATTGCCGTGGAGACAGCTGTTGGTCAACATGCTATTTGTCAGTGTACTAGGACAATATAACTAATTACAAAACATTATACTTGTCACTACGGAGATGACGGCACTGTTTTTCGACATTCAGTGACTGTGGCATAATGACCTTACAAAGTACTTTCGAGACTGAATCCCTTTCGAATGACAGTTTTGAACTAGATGATCTGACATTGAACGCGGCCACTCTGACAGTAGATATTTTATATCTGACCGATCAACTTACACGCCATACGCCGCAGGTGCGCCGCAATCGTCAACTACCGCGCCGTCCGCCGCGGGTGCGTCACAGACGTCATCGGCTGCGGCGGATGACGACGAGTACGGCGGCAGCACCGATGACGACATCGACACCGATGACGAGATCAGAATGTGAGTGTTGTGTCGCACTGCTGAAGGTGGATGTGTCGCTAACCAATAGGTACCATTGGTTTACATCTTTTTGCTGCATGGCGAGAGTCAGCTGCCTTGATAGACCCTACAACGCAGTCTAAGGCACCGTAGGACCTAAACTTTCAGCGTGCATGATGCCTCAACTTTCTTCATCTCCATTGTAACTAGTAAATTATCTAATTATCAAGCAAAAGGCTTCGCTCGTGCGCAAATGACATCCATTGACGACGCGTCTTTTAGCATATCTCACATTTAACTCGAACCATCTTCTCCACAGGTTCCACGAATCCAAAGCCAAGGAGTCGTCGGACGGTGCTGCTAAGCCGACCCCGTCCACTACCTCAGCACCATCCCGACAAGCATCATCACCCTCAGTACCCCGCAGCACCAGTCCTCAGTCCACAGCCACCAAACGACCGCCGCCATCACCGGAGGCCCCTTCCAAACGGGCCGCGTCGGGAGCCTACCGCGCGCCGGTGCAGGTCGACTCCGATGACGTCTATGATGCCGATACCGATGAAGACGAACCGAAAATGGAGGAGGGGAACGGTCGGCCAGACACGAGCGCGCTGGAGGTTCCCGATCTGCCCGATTTCCTCCGCGGGAGGACTTTCCTCCTGTACGGGGACGCGATGTCGACAGAGGAGCGACGCCAGGCAGCTCGAGCGATCACCGCGTTTGGAGGCAAGCTGGAGCAGTATTTCGGTGATACTGTGCAGTACGTTATCACGAAGGATGCGTGGGATGAGAACTTTGACGAGGCGGCGTCTGATCATCCTGAGCTGATGTTTGTGAGGCCGGGCTGGCTGGAGGCGTGCGCGCGGAAGGGGAAATTTGTGCCGCTGCAGCCCTACCTGGTTACCGCCGCAGTGTGAGGGGAGAAGAATGGCAGCTTCTTACGACAGATAAAAGCGATCGTTTGTCGGTATCGAGGACCATTGTGCGGCTCCTGATTCCCAGGGATGGTTTTATGCGCCCCTGCATTGTTGGCGCAAAGTGCACGAGTTCAGCCGTCATTGCACAAGTGATCCTTGTGAGTTTGCTGTGAACGTGTGATATTTATTTTCGATGCTACGACAATGTCGGTGCCAGTAGCTGGGATGGGGACCGGGCGTGGGGGCCGAGGCCTTTTCACAGGGCTCGAAGGAAACTAGGCACGCGGTACAAAGCTGCTTACTGATTAAGTGTTGCTGTAGCCGCGTGGTATTGGTGCTCGGCGAACTGTAAGCAACATCACGCCTCTTGTTTCTGCTGTTTTGCATCTTGGATTGCCATCGCTACACTATAGCCTTGTTTGTGCCTGACGAGTGTTCACGGTGTGGTATGTATTCCTAGTCTCAACTAGCCTTAGAGGATTGCAATCGCAATTGTGTGACTCATGTTCGGATCTGACGTGTTTCTCTGCGCGTTGTTATTCGTGTGTGCGCCTCTGCCATAGTCAATACCAGACTCACGCCAATGTACAAAGGAGCGTGTGTATTGTGAGGATGATCGAATCACTCCGCATCTTTAAATACATTCCACTCACATTGACTAATTCGAAAAACATCACATAATTCGAGGTCTTACCATGTACCGTCGATAATTACCCTTATGCTTTTAGCTGGACCCCGCCCCACGCCGACACCGCCTAGCACATCACAACAGCTGCCGCAGCAGACGCAGCTACCCTACACGACGCACGACATCACCGAATGCTTGGCACAAAATACAGCGAAACCGACAAAAATGCATCACAAAGATATGGTTTTCCGTTTCGCTACGAGCTCAGGGGCTGGAATGTGACCTATCCGCAGTCTCACCAGCGCTCTGCCGTCTCTCCGGCGCTCTCTCCTCTCTCCTCTCTCCCGCTCTACCCGGCGGCGGCCAGCACGGTCTGTTCGGCGATGGTGGTGGTTCGCCGTCGCTCGGCTACCCGCGCTAGCAGCGACGCCACGTGCGGGTACGTCTTGGCCGACCGGACCGGGCGCGTCAGGTAGCGGCCGCCGGCCCGGCTGTACGCCCGAATGTGCCTGCGATCGAACACGGGGGCATATCAGCACGGGGCATAGCGACATTATAAACATTAAAATTGTGGATGCTTCGTTAGGAAATAGCATAGAGCTCAGCTGAATGCTTGTTGAAAGCAGCGAATGAGCCTGCAGAAACGGAACGGAGTCACTCGGCCTAGCTAAGAGCCGACCAGCGCAGTGCGTAATGAACTCTTAAAAGCGACTGGAAGTTTTCATTAAAAATGAATCAATTTACGGAGAAGGAAAAATTGCAGCTAAGCAAGTTTTAAGAAACCATCCATGAACTCGCCAAAACAGGTACATTCAACAGCACAATAAAATGATGCGGCGAGACATCATGCACGGGTGAACCAGATCAGAAGGGCGGGGCAGCGGGTCTAGGTCGGGGCGGACGCATATCAGGGGCGCCACCTGGCCGTTGACGCCGTTGTGGCCGTTCTCCTGCTTGGACCGCTTCGCCTCGTCGTCGGCTGACGCATCCGAGGGACGCCGGGTCCGCTGTCGCCGCCGCAGCCGGCACCCGGCGGCGGCCGTCCGTCGTGGACCATCGGCAGTGCGCCGGCCGTCCGGCTCTGCCGCTCCCGTCGGAAAACGGCGTTGACTCGTTCCACGGCAGCTCGCAGCGGGCCAGGCAGGGCGGCCAGCGCCGACAAGCCGCCCGCCGCCCCCGCCACCGCTGCATCGGTCAGCCGGTACAGCAGCGTGTAGGCTGCCTCGGTGGAGCGGTGCGGCCGGCCCAGCGCGGTGGCCGCCGGCACCGGCACCGCTGACGCATCGTCCAGCCGCCACCAGCCGGTATCGTCCATCCCATCAATACCACCGCCACCGGAGGCGCGACAGAATGAGAAATAGTGGCCAGCGTACAGCGAATGGCCCGCGTGGACTATCACTGCATACAGCCGGTACTGGGCGGGCGGGCCGGTGGCTAGCGGCACTGTCAGCCACTCGGTGAGCTCCACAGGGGTGAGAACCTTGCGGCGTGCACCGGTGCGCCGGTCAACCGCGAACCTCATCAAGGAGACGACCAGGTTGGCTGGCGGAGAGAGCAGTCGCAGCTGGCGCTCGGCGTCCCGCAGGCCGGTGCACTTGGTACAGTAATACTGGTTATCACCGCACAGTCGTTCCGGCGTCAGCTGGTAGTCGAGCAGCAGCTGCGATACGGTTAGCTCGATCTCTGTCTCGATCCATGAACTCCTCCAGCGTCTCAGGCGGGGCTGTAGTAACTATTGGCAGTCTTGTTAATTGGTCTGAAGCCGAGACCGCGCCACCCGCGATAGTACAATCTACTCGCGGAGTAACCGGTCTCACCTGACGCCGTTGTCTCCGTTCCTGGCGTACGGTCTGCCCAGGTGGGCGCAGTAGTCGAGCACGGCCGCCCGCTTCCGCGCCACCAGCCTGCTCAGGCTGGAACCGGTAACAGGGGATGAGTCAAAACAGCCCGCGGCAGGAGTAGGAGGGGCGATGGGTGGAGAGCCTCTGCAATTTTAAAAGTATACCGTAAAGTGGGGCTATTTGAGACAGTGGGGCTATTTGAGACAGCATTTAAAATCGCTATAAAATGAAGATCGCTTGATTTTTGTGTGGTATTTTTGCTCAGGGAGGTGTGGAATCAATCAGTAAATCGCCTGAGCAAAAAATTAAGCATGAATTCTAAGTGGTTTTTATTTTATAGCCATTTTAAATACTGTCTCAAATAGCCCCACTGTCTCAAATAGCCCCACTGTCTCAAATAGCCCCACTGTCTCAAATAGCCCCACCTTACGGTACCTGTATTACATGCCTATAACTAACAGCACGTTCTGTGAACGTTGAACAAAATTTCTGGGAGCTCTGTGGACAATATTTCCCAGCATCAGCATCTCAAACTCGATTTTGAATACCTACTTTCCTGATCATTTACCGCGCCGGTGTCGTATTCACAGTCACGGGTTAAGTGTCAGCCGTCAGGGTTTCGTTGAGAATCTTGCATTATTTTTGGGTTTCGCCTACTCTCCACTCGGAGTATTTATCCCGGGAAAAGAGTAACATTTAATTGTGATTACGGGCACGGAGATTGTCTGTTCGAAGGGCTGGGTATAACGTCTATGATTGCGTGGAACCGCTCAGTGAGTCCAGCCCGGGGTTCGTTATGATGTTAACTCACGTGCAAGGCTCCTGTTTGGGTGTGTACTGCCGGTCCACGGCGCGCAGAATCTCCAGCCGGCTCTCGTGTCTGAAAACGGCAGACAGTCGGCGAGGGCCTCAGTAAACACTAACGACACCGTACCGACGCATGTCAGCAATGTTTATAAGAATAAACGTAAACAAAACAAAAAATAATAATAATAATCCATTATACATTAATTCGAATTCAACAGGCAGTCAGCAGCGATAGAAAGCTAAACGGCAGCATGAGCCCAGAGCCACGAAAAAAGTTTTGAATTTCCCGATCACCTACACGACTCAAAACGAGCAATATGAAATATCATTAGCATGCCCAGACTGCCCAGCCGCTGCCAGTGTGTTAATCTTCATTCTGCTCCTTCCAGTGGCTCTCACCTGAACGCGATGGCGTGTCGCGCCACGCGCATGGTCCGGTCGTCGTGCACCACTCTAAGGACGGCGGCGTGCGCCGGCGACCCGGGCTCCAGCCACGGCCGGCCCTCCTCAGCGTCCTCCATAGGGCCGTGGCTGCAGCTGTTGCCGTCGTCCCGCCTACAGTGGACGCCCACCACATGGTGCGCCGCTATCGTCCACAGCCGCTGAGGGTGGAGAGGTGGACTGGTCAGCGGGGCGCCACTAGCCGCCTTTACACAGGGATTGTTGCAAGCTCATTAGCTCCGCCCGTGATGTTGCAATAGATGCCAATGGTGCTTTACAATTTACAAAATGATGCTTTCTAAATCTAACAAGAGCACTGCATCGAAATAATCGCAAAATAAATGAGCTGAAGCTTCGTCAAAAATGCTATGTAACCACTAACCAGGCATACTGTGTCGTGGACTGTAGGATTGACAGGGGACGGGGCGCCGGAGGCGACTGTGAACCGAAAGGTGGATCGATCGACAAGGAACCGACTCCAAGGTACAGTAGACTAGGAAGAGGATAGGAGGAGCGCCAGAGTTGAGAAGGCGAACACGGAGACACTGTGGACCCAGTGGCAGATAAAGGAACGCGACGACACCATGGATTGAAAGGTGCGTGCAGCGACAATGGATCAGTGGACCCGAGAAATCAAAAGACAAATGAAGCGTGAGCGGGACTTCGGACAACCACATAACATACCCATCATCCTGCAAAACGCATTCACAGTTCACATACAGCTAGAAGCTAGCTTACCTCGAAAAGCTCGAAGTTGCCGTTTGCCGCCTTGGCACACGACCAGAAGTGGTTCTTCAGGTAGCTTATCCAGCACTTCAGCGGCTTGTAGCCCGGCCGGGAGGCGAAAGCCTCTAGCCGTTTTTCCACGTCGACTGCGGCGTCTCTGATATCGTACGAGTACTTCGCCGCCGGCAGACATCGTGCTGAAAGTAGGAGCAAAGGCTATGATTTACTATAAACAACCGATGTTCGAACAATAAAGCATAGATAATGAGACAATCATAAACCGCTATTGAAAGTGTGTGAAAACTACACTACGCTTATCAGTTTTTCCTTTAGCAATCACTACAAAGGTCAGGCACCTATTGGCAGCCGCCATTTTCCACCTCCGAACAAACAGTAGACGCCACCGCTCATATGTTGTGTCACTGTGACGTGTTGCCCACTAGACCCCGTATTATAGACATAACGCTAGGTTAGTCAGTAGTTACTGTTCCCTGCCCTGCACTGGTCGCAGTCACTCACCAACCACCCGCTGGGCGCCGACGTGCCTGTCGGAGATGAACTCTGTGACGAGCACCTCTGCGCGCCGCAGGTCGGCCAGACACCGCCTGACGGTCTCCAACTCCTCCCGTCGCGTGGGCGCGCCCGGACCGCGGTGCGGCACCGTGCTCTGCAGACACGATTAGAGGGTGATTCTGATGACGATATCTTTCATATTTGGGTGTTTGGGCGCCCCGAAAGTAGTAGAATCGGCGCCCAAAGGTCAACTCCCCACAGCCCTAAATGTGTCTCTGATTACAACCAGTGCACATAATTTGGCAACAATAACACTGAGAGCATAATATCGACTTATGTATCAATAGTATATATGTAGTATTGCAACTGTCTAGACTACTATCCATGCTGTCTTGATAGGCATGACAGCATGAAAAAGCAGCACGGAGAGATGACGCGAAGTGAGGAGGCGGCACGCGGTTCGCGGCGCAGGAATGCAGCCTACCTACCTGTGCTACCACTAGTCCGGTGACATTGTCAACGAGCGTGTACGTGCCGAACGACACAGAAAAGTCCGGAGTGTCCACCTGGTAACTGCCTGCGGAAAACACGGAAAGTGTCACCGATACTGAGAACGACTGGGGGTTAAAGAGCATCAACGTACCAAAACGGATTGAATTCCATTAGTTCTGGCGGACTAGAAAACTCATCAGGGCGTGGAAAACAGCCGAAAGAATTTTGGATAATGAAAAGGTACGCCAGACATACTTACACTTTCCGAAATTGAAAACGACCACAGAGTACAAAAATAATAAGCGATTAAGATGAGACCAAAACGACATGAACATCGAACAGCAATCATTACCAGCCCAAGTAATCTCCTGGTTCTCCCCTTCTCTCGTCTCCAGCCAGCGCCGACCCCACTCACCAGCCACCACCAGCCCCTTTGGTGATGCCGCCAGCGCCGCCGCGCGGTTCGCCTCCATCGCGTCCGCGAACTTATCCGCGATAGCGGGCGACACCACTGCATCCGTGAGCCGATTGAATACGCCACAGTTGAGGCGACCCATGTTGACGAAGTTGAGGAGCCGCTGGACACCGGTGGGCGAGCAGCCGCTCAGGGTGACGGCGGCGGCAAACACGGCGTCAAACGTGGTCACCTGGCCGCTGCCAGAGGTCGAGTGCCACGGCGGGCGGGCCGGGATGCCGCACAGCGGACACACCTGCAACGGAGGGAAAGGGGGAGGGTGTTAGAACAGCAGCTGTGGAAATTGACACAACGAGCGTAGGGCACATGAGACAAACGTATATCGCGGAATCACCCAAAGGCAGCTTCCAAATGATAAAAAAGCAACAAAAAAAAAAAACGACGGCAAAACTGTGTTCATGGCTTAGTACGAAACACGTTTAAAGGGACAGTATCACCATTTTGATGAAATTTGACATTGCATAGGCCCCACCTTTCTGGTCCGGGAACTGAAGACCGATCCTCGAAGCTCCACACCGTTATCCCGCTATCGCCGCTCAAAGTACGAAATGTGTACTACACTTTGAATCGTGCTTCACTATCTTCACTGTTTAAATGTTTGCGCCGTTTTGAATTGACCGCCAGTAATAAAACTTTTACCCTGGTCATTTCATCAAATTTTATACAGCCAAAACGTTTTTCGCACTTATTCATCACCGTTAAATTCATTAAATAGTCGTAGGCAATTTCCGCTGTTTCCTTCGGATTCTAGCGGCTCAACAAAGGAATTCCTCCAGCTTGAATCACAATCTCCCTCCAATGTATGACGTTTATCACGTGATTGTCACGTGATATTGTCTCCCATTGTCAATTGTCACGTCCAATTGTCACTCCCTCCAATTGTCACGTGATATTTTTATAGGCAATACCTAAGGCTACCTCTCCCTAAGGACAACTCAATCAGAAGAACGACCGCGTAAGCGTAGCGTCAATAATGTATTATCTGCGCCAGTTCTGTAGTAATTTTGCATGCTTCCAAACTGGCGGCCATGCTTGTATAGTGGTGGTTCGCTCATGAAAATGAATCATGAAAATGAAATGTGGTTGCAATATTTTTCACCGAGTTCGGTCCTCAAACTATGTTTTTCTGATTCAGAAAAATAAGAAATGCTAGTAAAAAAAATCAGCCCCATACATTGATTTTTTTTTCGATGATACTGTCCCTTTAACTAGTCACTGCTGCGACAACGGTCACTCGACTCTAACGTAAGCGAAACCTTGGGAGTCATCCCCTCTCTCAACCCGGCACCAACACCCACAATCACCCGCCGACACCTCACACAAACGCTCCCCCGGCGGCGCTCGCCTGTCTCACCCAGTTGACGCAGTAGGAGAGGCTGATGCGGTTGGTGGCCGGCGCCACGGGCTGCATGCAGCTGGGACAGCGGACGGGCGCTTCGACCAGCAGCTGGTGCAGCTGCGGCTCTGAGATCACCGCGCTGGGAGTGGCCCAGTGCGGGGAGGGCGCGGCGCCGTCACACAGCACGCCGCAGCCGGGCCGGCCGGCGCCGATCGCCGCCGGGTCGTCCTCCGACTCCAGCTGCACGTCCCTGCAGCGGGTAGATGGAGGGACGTGAGGTATGTAGCGACTCTTAGCGAAAGTGACGCAACTCAACAGACGGTGAATGCCAGTGAGTATTGGTGAAAAATAATCAAAATGACATTGGTGGTTACTGACAAAACAACACAATATTCATTTCAACGGAACGAATAGTTATAATATAAAGTGAAGCCAGACAACTGCAGAGTTCACATTCTTATTTCATAACAAGAACAAACAGTACATTGAGAATCAAAAGTGAGCCACTGTATATCCAGGAATTCAGTGATAGCATCAACGCGATGGCATCAAAAGCTCATGAAATTCTAAGAAAATGGGACAGCTAGTTCAGTTACAGTTAGAGGTGGCAAAAGATGAAAATTTTGGGAACCAGACTCGAACCAGACCCGACTGAACATTTCTGGAACCAGTCAGAGACTCAGACCCGGTGTAAGTTGGAAATCGGAACCAGTCGGACCCGTTCCCTAAAAGTCAATTGATACTAACTATTTGTAGGTATCATTAGTTGCATCATATCAGTCGGTGACACACCAGGGAAATAAGCTAAAATTAGAGCACTCTATTTATTGCTCCCGCTACTTCACCGTCTCCCATAGGGTCCTGTGTTGAGCTGGTGTCGAGGCTCTAAAAATGACGCCGATTTTTGCACCCTTCTCACGAAAACCGCTCGGACCGCCTGGAAACCAATTGTTCCGCTCTAAAAATTTCATGATCGACGGGAAAATGAATGAGGAAAAGATTGGTCCTGAAATAATTCTGAACTCCCTGTAGAACATATCGAAATATGGCTGCAAACTAGGAGCATGTCAAAATCGACAAAACAATACAAATAAACTTATCGGGATTTTTTTATTTTCCATGCATCTGTGTATGAAATCAGTCGTTTTTTCGGAAAGATCATCTTCTGTTTAATAAATAATTCCACAATTGCAATCGAGAAAAAAAACATTTCCGCTGTGACAGCAGTTTTGGCATTGTGCCAGTAGTGTGGCGTGCGCGGTGCTGCGTGGTCGTCGGGACGGAGTTGTGAGTATTTTCGGTGTTTTAAATGGTTGATGGCCATTTGAACCAGCTTCATATTATTTCCTACAAATTTTTGCATCAAATTATTGCTTTGAAAGACCATTGAAACCCCTTATCTCTTCATGAAACACGATCATATTCATCGTCGACGAAAATGGCGCGGGACTCCATGTGCATTCCGTCGAAATAAATCGTAAATTAAATAATATTCGATGATAAATATCATATTCTAGTGACACATTTTCATAAAATAAGGCATAAACTTTGCAAGGAATTCAACATTGGATAATTGGAATCTTATTTTGCTCACATATCCTTGTAGTAGTCAAATGGCTCAATTGTTAGATAGATGTAAGTATATGTTTTGGCTTGATGTTTGCTGTGAAACCACCCAGCCACTTGCTGGTTGAGTGGTTTTCTGATAATTACCTGATAATCATTTCTCCTTTTCCTTAAAAGAAACTAAAATTCCTTTCAAAGTAATCCATTTTAAGGAAAGGCGGCTTGCTCATTGGCATTTCATGTTCTTGTTTTGTTATTGCTGGCAGTATTTTGATACAATAATGCAATATGAATTTTTTGCAATAATAAAACCTAAGACAAACTTAGTTAATGCGTCAATCAAACACCCAACAGAAAGATTGTGAGTCCTTGTGACGTGAAGTAGAATATTCTATGAATGTGTTATATAGAATATGCCAAATATTAAATTATTATTTGATACTGATAGCTGAGCAGGTGAATTATGCAGCAATATAATTTCATTTTCTGGTTTTGAAATAGCCGGCAGTATTTTACTTCAACAAATGTAATATACATAGAATACATGTTGTTATGTTACCTATGTTAAAAGTTTAATAACAGCCAACAGAAGGAGCTGTTTCAGCAGATAAAGTTTGTACCTTATGCATTACCTTTCTTTTCTGCAGGACCATGCTTCCGCTGGGTGGTCGACATTTGCCTCCTGAAGAAGTTGAGCAACATGAAGACCACCAGATGAGGTGTCTGCAGTTCATGTGGAACTCTGCAGACTACAAGTGTTATGTCAACCACAACCAAAGTGATGTGATCATGGAGGCATGAACCTCATGACAACACTTCAGATTTGCAGTTGAACCAAAGTGTGATTCAAACCACCTGTGGCATCTCACTCAATGTGTGAACAGTGTGATTATTGTGCAGTGTTCAGCTGCAACTAAGACATTTATTAGTGACTTGTTTTGCAATTAGCCACCAAAAGCATTTTTTGGGCTGGCTGCTGTTATTTGGTTGTGCACTGCGCAATAGTGGTAGTGTTTTGTCACTTGTCAAGTTGTCAGTTGTGCATGTTGCATGTTTCTCTTCCCTCGGCCCTCATTATCAGTTAAGTGGTGAATTGGCATCACTCAGTCTCCCCAGATCTCCATTGACTGTCTGTCAACCACCTAACTTGACATGGTATTTGCTAATAGTGTCAGAAACGAAGTGATTGTAGACATTTTTAGGAATATGAGCTCCGTTTCATGCGTGTTCCAGTGGTCATTTTGTCACATGTCCCATAGTGTAATAAATGGAAACTGTTGTTCCCTTTTGAAGGTACTCGCGGATGCAGAAAGCATTGGGCCTAATTATTAAACGCACCCTCCTATCAGCGACGCACGAAATCGACAAATATCATCCTTTTTAGAACAGGAGGAAACGAAAACTTGTGAACATAGCTGTACCTACAACAGTGCATAAGGAATTGAAATTCTGGGAGTTTTTGAAATTCGGAGAAACTCAAGTTGTCGACAGGTATGCCCCCTTGCACGTCAAAGACCGCCTAAAAAACAAACGTCTACGAATGAAGGCAGTATTCGTATGTTCGTTGTAATTGCAGCAGCCTAGCAACATGTATTGCGGTCCGATGGCGAAATGCACTCGTGCTCTAAAACTGTGCCGGTAACTGCCAATGCACTTAGGTCATAGGTGAGGAGAGGAAGGGTTATGTCATATGTCAACATCATAGAAATGGCTTCATCTGAGCTGTGCCTATTGTACATAATTCAACCGATCTATGCATTTCGTTTCTTGCAATCTACTCATGCTTTCACTCCAGCTTCAGAGTAATCATCCCATATTGTACGTCTTAAGATATTGATTTCTATGGCGGTTTGCAATTACTAGCCACGTCTCACCTCAGTTGGTGGCCCCGCATCGGCCCACTCGGCCGCTCTAAAATTGACTTACGGAGGAGGATGGTGGCTTTTATTTTAGCTTCTCCGCCGACTGCGGGGAGCGCCGTCGCCGAGGTAGGAGCAATAATTAGCTTATGTTTGGGACTAATTTCCACGCTTAATTAACATTTTAACGTTATTTTAATTAATTCATGTTAATCCTTGACGCATTCTCTTTCTATTGATACCATCCACCGGTCTGAGAATTACTGCCTTGCTGCGTAAGGGCCGATAAAAGATCACGCTTTTAGGGGTATCTCTTCAACATGGGGCAGGAGCAATAAATAGAGTGCTCTAATTTTAGCTTATTTCCCTGGTATGTCACCAACTGATATAAAATAACCTACTTCCTACTGGCAGCTTCAGTGTGCAAAAAACATACTACATGAGCAAATGTTTTCTTGCCATTGAATTTACATTTTGCAATCATGTGTAGACGTGTGCAATAGTATGGTTTATAATTGGACCCGTCAGAAAATTTCCAGGAACCGGTCTGGACCCATATGGGTCCGGACTGGTTCTTTGGACCGGGTCCTCGGGTCCACATTTTGCCACCTCTGGTTACAGTAGCAATTCAACGCTCCACAGAAGTTCAGTACATACATCTCCTGGAGAAGCTCCGCCTCAGCCAGGTCGTGGCAGAGTTTCGGCAGGTTCGACACAGGGACTGGCGGCGACGCGCCCTCTGCCGGACCGTTCTCCGCCATACCGTCCTCCGGCGGGCCCACCAGCTCCCTGGTGGAGATAGTTGGGCAGCGATGACCACGGGAGGTCAATGTAAGGGTAGGACGGATTAGACAAAAATCGAAAAACGCAGGACGATGGACCACCAGTAGTGATAAACGTTGGATGTTCATGAAAGTATGTGTTAAGAGGAATAATGCCGAGTTTTGTTTCTTCTAGAGGTGTTAATTTGATTATTTGAAAATAAAGAAAATAAACAGTGATAGCCAGGCAGACACGTCATGTTCCCTTAAATGTCATCGTCGTGGTTCGAGACTGAGAATTAAAGAAAATGAGGCAATCTACTTAACTCTTATCGTAAGTCCTCAGAAAGGAATCTCAGTGCAAAAAAAAAAGAAATTGGCAACATTTGAGCAAAGTAATGTATGGCAAACACATCTCACCTGTCTACCTCCTCAGCCGAGATGTCGTCTTCCAAATGTCGCCGGGCCTCAATCCGCGACTCCTTTCTCAAAAACCTGAAAGAGTCAACACGTTCTGAAATCACATCTCACACGCCTTGATTATGTCTTGTCTAACAGTTTCTGTTTGAAGAGCATACGAAACAACTTCAAGGGAAGGCGTATGTGTTTCTCTCCCAGCAATGAGGAGGAAACAACATCGTGAGATTTGTGTAACATTAATCCAAGCCCTAGGTCAGTAAAAAATCCTCACCAGACGGCCAGTCGCTCGATGGTCTTCTCGACAGACGAAGACTTCATAACATTCTGAACGGCCAGTAGCCGACTGTAGGTCGCCGAAGGGATCTTCATCTTTTTGAACGTCTCGGGCATAGGCTGCATCAGCGGCTGAACGAACGGTTGCACGGCGGGCTTGCTGTAAAATGAGCACAACACAATATACTGTAGGAAACACATTTATTTGAAATTTTTTAAATCATTCCAAGGCCAGAACTTCAGGGGCATGCATGTACTAGTCTATGTAGAAAGAGAACAGCGTACACTTAATCAGATACATGGGTACCAAAAGACAGTTAACCCGCGCCCCGTAGGGCTACCGGCGGACCCTACCACCCGTAGGGGGGGGGGGCCGTTTCGGCCCCCCCCCCTAAGATCTCGGAAAGTTACCGTCCGATTTTCAAAATTTAAACGGCGTTCGATAGCCCCACCCGGGAACTACCTTGTGACCAAATTTCATTGACCTAGGTCAAACCGATGACGTCACAGGTCAGGTCAAAAGTCAGATTTTCACCGTTCACAGGCATTTCAAGAAATGTGTTGTGAAATCGAGTAAATTGGTAATTTATTGATAACCATCGATGGTACATTGTTCGTCAAACACATACTTTGCTATCTGAGGTCACTGATACCAGGTCAGGTCACAGCGAGGTCAGGTCACCGGGGGTCACAATATGAAAGTGTCGTGTGATACATGTTTTATGGTCCATTTTACATGACAAATGCGATTATGTGGGTTAGGCAGCCTTTGGGGCCAGCCTAGGTCACGTTTTGGTGAAGGTCAGGTCAAGGTCAGGTCAAATTAGGTCAAATTTCAAAGTTGATATTTTTGCATAAAATGGGTATCGATTCGATGCAGCTCGTCACGGGGAGTCTAAATGGTGGTCTTTGTTTTGCTCTACGAGGTCTAGAATTGCCAAAAATTGAGTTTGAAAATTTGACGTCATCATTTTTGAACAGTTTTTTCGCTATAACTTGGCCAAAAAACGAGGTATCGATCTGAAATTTGGTATGTAGATAGAAGACGGTAGGTACTATCACATATATTCCGGTTTTTTCGAAACTCAAAAAACTTTTTGGTTTTTTTGGCTAATATATAAAAAAAAAAATGCTTTTTTGATTTTTGGGGGTTAAAACTCCAAAATTTCAAAAATCCGAGATAGCAGTTTTGTAATTCTGTCAATTCTACACCTTTTATGTCTTGATCATTTTTCTGTATCTTCAAAGCTGTAGGCGTGACAGGTCTTCTCGCGAAGGTCTTTTTTCGGTCGAAAATGACAGAACATGACGTCACTCTGACGTCATTTGTGGCCAACCTATCATAGCCTTTGGAAAAATTTTTGGTCACAATGTGTAAAATTGATGCCCGGAGGGGTCCTGAAAGTTTGGTGGCGATATCTCCAGCCGTTTAGGAGATATCGACCGAAAAGGACAGGGGGGGCCGTTTCGGCCCCCCCCCCTACGGGGCGCGGGTTAACTCCAATGCAAATTCAAGGCTGACACTACACCATGAAATAATATCTGTACCAAAGCAACGCGTAACGAGGCGAGAGTGCGGATACGATCGCTCTCCTGTGCAAACTAGGATGCCGCTAATTTCGCCCCGAGCACAAACAGGCATTGCAGGAGTTGCAGACTGCCGATTATTTTTCACTAGTGCTCCTTCCACCTGATAGTGAGCTGCCTCTTTCATCGTTGTTTTACCTGTGTGTGTAAGCATGAGCGATGGGCATTGGGATTTCACTCGGAGGAGCCTGTCTCTCAGGAACCTCTCGAAGTGGTTTTGAGTTCGACTGAGGCGGCCCATGCTTTGGCGGACCAATGGTGCCTATCAGTCTGCCTTCGAACGGCCAGTTGGGCTGGAATAGAACAAACAAAAAATGGATGTCAGCGGTGCCACGTAGCATCCAAGGAATTCGCAAACATTTCATCTATTTTTCTTGATTACGTTGATGAACAAATGCATTTACATATCTTTTGTGTCTGGTGCACCACATCCGCTTAAATCAACAAATAAGTCAGATCGTGCCATTGCCAGTTACCTGGGCCTCGTTTCATAAAGCGAGTCCGTAACTTACGCCGGTTTTTGGGCTTGTATTACAAGTGCATGCGAAGCGATAAATTTATTTCCCCTTCTCCCTTCTGTTCTTGCTTGCAAGATAAATCAATTCGACGATTCAGACTATCGTCATCGCTTCACATGCACTTGCAATACAAGACCAAAAACCGGCGTAAGTTACGGACTCGCTTTATGAAACGAGGCCCTGGATATGAACAGAGCACATGATTGTTACAGCGGCTGGTGACCAACAAAGGAGTTGAAGGACAGTAAGCGATCGACAGGCCGGTGACTCTGATAAGGTCGGGAAAGTGGAAATCAGGTGGCATGTCGAGGAGATCACATCGTTCCAGGCACCATATAGCAATGGTGCCTGTCAATCCACTAATGGTAGCCTGAGGCCGTTCACAGCGGGTGTCAGGTAAAGACGAGGGTCGGTACGGGCCGGATTGGGCCACGGCTGGCAATGATTAGCCAGTGTCAAGCTTATCAGTTAAAAAGCCGAGCGACGGATGAACTCACGACCGTAATTACGGGACGAGCCATGGAAAGTACAAGTGATGATGATGATGATGAATTTGGGTTTTTGGGCGCCCGGACTACAGTGGTCATTGGCGCCCATGGAAAGTACGACAAAAGACTCAAAGAGTTACATGAATACGCGATCGGCAAATCAACGGTTGGCAGTGGTGACAAAGGAGAAAATTGTGTAACTTTTACCCCTGAAGCACACAATACTCACGTGCAGTGTAGGAACCGCTCCTGGGGAGAGCCTTGGCACTTTCATTGAGAGGTTGATTTCATTCCTCTCGAAGTGGCGGACACATACTCCCATAGATGGTCTCACCTCTTCTAGATTGCAAACTGTCATCCATTGTCTCTGGGAGAGAGTGTGTTTGGGAAACCTGCAATGAGAAACAGTTCAGTTTAATGCAAAAGCATTGTTCTTCTGTTCCTGAAAGCTGTAATGGCGTACCAGAGGCCTGTTTGTTACTTGGGGCTTTAGGACGCACCAACTCCTAAGGTCATTTTGCGCCCATAATGTTATGCTGGAGGAATGAACAATTCCTGTACACCTAACCATTTAAGAACCTATGAGTAGATGGAGAAAGGAACAACAAGAGCTAGAAAGAGGAGGGATGGAGGGAGGGAGGGAGGGAGGGAGGGAGGGAGGGAGGGAGAGGGAGAGGAAAAGAGAGAAATGCAGACAGAAACAAACACAGAAGCTGAGGTAGAAACACAAATGACGGGGCGCTTACATCAAATAATAACTGCAATATTCAGCACAATTTTTTATATAAATTTAGCTCGAATGTTTGAATGGACGGATTGACAGAGCCGGAGCCCACGCTAAGCAGAGCTTGTTGCGTAGACCCCGACCCCTACCGTCCGATCGCGCAATTCCGGGTAACGGGAGCATTTAGATGCCAAAGTTAAATGTGCCCTTCAAAGCCGGACACGGCCTGTCCCACTCAACTGACTTCAACTGGCTGCGGCTGTTCCCACCAGCCGCAGACCATCCCCGTCAGGAGTCTCATATATCGAGCGCCGGAGCGTCTCGAACCCGGGCTCTCACTACCGGGAGTCCGATGCTCTACCAGCTGAGCTACGGGACAGGCACAATATACACAGAAGGTACAGTGGAAGGTATGAGATAGGCACAATCATAACTAGGTTACTGTACTTACTGGAAAACCGTGTCCTGTGGTTGCTTTGCAGCGCAGAGAACACAACGAATTGTGGGCATAATTCTCTTGTGTCACAACCAGAGTATCACGTATCCAGATTATGTGCCTGCAACTCCCTGTAACAAATAAATTTCACATTACAAAGGGACTGCCACTGTAAATGGCAGGCACTGGGCAGAGTCTGATAGTGCACGAGCCCAATCTGCAAAGTATGGCACTTTCGACGAGATCTCGTCGGTGCGGGCTTGCTCGGCTGGTGCGGATTTGGTGTGGTGCGGCGCGGATTTAGTGTAGTGTCGTGCGGAATTGGCTTAGTGACGGACATGACAGACCAGACGAGATAAATAAGGAAAATCGAAAACAAAAACATTGTTGGAGCTTCGACATGTAATTCAGTGTGCTCTCGGATCTAAATGAGCGTGCAGTGGTCAGAACGGACTATGCTAGCGCTGGTGGCCCCATCAATCACGTGGGTCGCCTGGAAGTTCGCACTGTTACAATACGAAACGCACCGCTCGGCTCTGCGAGGTGCCGGCGGTAGACTGAGAGGGATGAGCACGGCCGATGTGAGGGCTTCGAGGAGTGCACGGCCGATGTGAGGGCTAGAAGATCACCGCTCCGCCGCTCCAGTCAGATGCGAACGATTTATCGGGTATGTTCGACGCAGCTAATAAGTTGCGTCGGAAGAATCTGAGTTTGTTGCATTCTGCACTCTGCAGCATTCAAATAGATGCTCTCGGGTCATGTGAGGGTTTGGCGTTGTTGCTCGGTGGTACCGCGAGATGCGCATGGCTGATGGCAGACCTTGAGGGCCGCTTCTCTTGCCGCGGCAAAGTACAAAGAAAGCAAATCTGCCGTGAATGAGGCACATCACACAATAATCACCCTGGAGTGAATCGCAAGGGGCAGGTACCTACTGGATGTGGTCTTCTATTGCCGTGACACGCTTTTTGTTTGAGTTGAATGGCCAGATTGGAAAACATCCATGCACTACGCTGGGCGACCGTAAGACCCTCTAGCGCCAACGGCGCAAGCAATTTTGCCCTGAAATTTCTGCATGATTTGCGCCGAAAGTTGGGAGCCTATATGTGTCAAAATTAAGCCACTTTTATATAAAGCACATGTGCACATCTATCGAACAAGGCTATATCAACCAGACAGAGTGTTGCGGAGCCTTGGACGCTCTCCCACATAAGTTTTTCATTTCCACGGAAACCCAATTGTACCTCAATTGGGTTTCCGTAATGGGCTTAGCGCCGTGCCGTAAAACAAGGCCGGAGCCGGAAGTTCCAGGTCCACACAAATCGGCGGAACGGTGTGTTCGAGGCTGGCGGGAGTCAGCGAGGGCCGGGCAGCGGAGCAGCACGTGCTCCGGCACATCAGCCTCTTCTCGGCGCAGAGCGCCGCGGGGCACCGCTTGTCCGGGCATTGCTGGCACGCCGCGGAGTGGAGACAGCCGATTCGGTGCACGTACTGGAGCGCTTGCGGCCCCAGTGGCCCGCATTTATCTGGTGCACCGAAACGACGTCCTCCCGGTCCTCTCCGGGAATAGGGAGCGCCGGCGTGCTCCCGAGGAGTGGCTTGAATAGTGACTCGGACCAGTTGTCGCGCCATTGATGCGAGGCCGCACAATGCACCGCCCTGGTCAGCGAGCGGGCGTTTGAGTTCAGGGCTGCCGCTTGTTTTGCCAGGTCGTCTGCGCTCTCATTCCCCTCGGTACTGCAGTGGGCAGGAACCCACTGCAGTATTACTTAACGACGCTCCTCGCTCGGCGATGTTCAACCAGGTCTTCCATAACCATCTCCATGCCGAGAGTTGAGGCCTCACCTGGGCGGCCGTTCCTCCGCTGAGAAGACTCAGGGCGGCTCGCCAGTTCGAGCACGCGACGACCGGGGCGGGGACGTCTCGTCCCGAAACCACTCCAGAGCCACGGCCAATCCCCCCCCCCCCTAAGATCTCGAGAACCACGCAACATAGCGACAAGCAGCAAATGGTGTTGGATAGCCCCAATAGCGAACTACCTTGTGACCAAATTTCATTGACCTAGGTCAAACCGATGACGTCACAGGTCAGGTCAAACGTGAGTTTTCACCGTTTACAGACATTTCAAGAAATGTGTTGTAAAATCGAGTAAAATGCATTTCATTGAAAATCATCGATGGGGAATTGTTTATCAAACATATTTATTTTGCTATTTGAGGTCACTGATACCAGGTCAGGTCACAGAGGTCAGGTCACTGAGGGTCACAATATGAAAATATCATGTGATGCACGTTTTATGGTCCATTTTATATGCCAAACGCGATTATGTGGGTCAGGCAGCCTTTGGTGCCAGTTAAGATTATGTTCTGGTGAAGGTCAGGTCAAGGTCAGGTCAAATTAGGTCAAATTTCAAACTTGATATTTTTGCATAAAATGGGTATCGATTCGATGCAGCTCATCACAGGGAGTTCAATTGTGGTCTTTGTTTTGAGCTATGTGGTCTAGACTTGCTAAAAATTGAGTTAAAAAATTTGGTGTCATCAATTTTGAAGTTTTTCGCTATAACTTGAACTTGGCCAAAAAAGGAGGTAACGATCTAAAACTTGGTATGGAGATAGAAGGGTGCAGGGATTATCACATATATTCCATTTTTTCGAAATTCGAAAAACTTTTGAGATTTCTCAGGTTTCGGTTAGCTGGCTTTGAATGCCACAAACAAATCAATTGAAATGTAATTCAACACAGTACCTAAGGTACAACAGCAATGCCCTAAATCATTGTTTGCACCCGAATATCATTTACAACTGGAACACACTTCAATATGCAGTATCACACAATGTGACACAACACAACACAACCAAACACAACACAACACAGCACACAGCACACACAACACACAAGATACGCACATACACCGGTGTGCGGCAAATGCGACCCGTTCGATAACTGCGGATCGCAAACTTCGCTCGCAAAACTCATCATACGTTGTGAAATTTTGATCAGTTTTCTTAGCTTTCCTTTGTATTTTTGACTTTTTTAGCTTGAAATTGAAACCTATATCATTTAAAGACTTTGTTTTACATTTCTAATACATGATAAAGAAAAGGGAAGGACATAACTATAAACTAGAAATCAAGAGAGAACTTAAATGACGTCAAAAGAATCCCGTCCTTTGATTCGGTTGTTTTTGCTGACGACTGATAACTTTGAATGCAATGTTGTGTGAGCCATGAACGGAGCGAAATTGAAATGGGAGTGCCTTGAAAGCGCCCGGTTCGTTTGAAAATATCGGTTGCGGAGAAGATGGAAGATGCTGGATTTTGTTAATTTCGATTCATCATAAGTGTGGCACGATTGATGGGAGTTGTTCATTTTTAATGTCACATTGCCGAGGGAAGGCTGCCTGATGCGAATAGGTAAATATGGGGGTCATTTTGGGCAAATCGGCGATTGAATTTGAAATTGAATTCACGTTGAATTGGAATAAAAATTGAAATGGGTCTTTCATTCTGTCTAAATCCTGACTCACAATAAAATTTTAACGGATTTTTATGATAATTATCATTTCCAAGTCTAGCTGAAGCCTGAATGTTTGAATTGACTGCTTTGTGGTGCTTGTTGCATAGGTAGGCCCCGACGCAGGACGCATAGGTAGGTTAAGGTACCTACCTCTTCAGTTGGGCAAACTGCAGGGAGGTAATCTAAATATAGATTAATCAAAATTTAGATTATTTTATGCCCATATTTGGGCATTTGAGCAGCCCTTTGCAGAAACAGCTGTGTAAAGGCCCAGGAGTGACAGAATCACATCACTCTTTCACAAAGCAAAGTTGACATAACAAACTTCCTCTGAAACACCAAAACAGCTCTTAGAAAATTTTTGGGGTTCCTGAATTATGATGGGAACATAATCTAAATTAAGATTAAAAAATCAGCCTCAATGAGGAAATAATCTATAATAAGATTATGTTGTCAGCTGACTAATCTGTTTTTAGATTACACAATCAGCTGAATAATCTTAAATTAGATTACATTCAGCTGGCCTAATCTAAATTAAGATTATAATATTTAGCATCTGAGGGGATATAAACCCCAATATTATGATACGACAATAAGAGACGCTGGAGTGCCACGTCGTGTGCAGGGAAATAGCCAGTCTAGCGCAGAAAAGAAAAATACAGCACATTACCAGGCTTTCTGTAAGTATATTTAACTTATTTTAGAGAATAAAACAACAGAAATTAGCAATAAATATTTGTTTTTTTAAGCTCAAAAGCCTTTTTAAGGTATATAAGGCAGCGTGAATGCAGGGTGGGAATTCTCTTTTTTTTTCTTGGTGTCTGAGTACAAATTTTCGGGGAAGTGAGTACAAAATTTCATGATGCAGTCACGGCATATCAAATATTAAAAGTGATGATTCAAAGTGATGTACCTAAGTATGATAAAAAAGGACAAATTCAGCACTGCAAACACTACTGACAACACTACTGAGAATTTGCCCATAAAAGACAAGTTGGTCAGCTGGATGAACATGATAGCGAAAACAAGGTATTTGATTAATAATAAAAATAGATATTCCTCAGTAGGCAGCAGTCAATCGTCCGCAAGTGAGCGAGCAGCGAGCACTCAGCAGGTGCCGAAGCCTCACGTGAATCAATTCAGAACAAGTTGCTCTTTGTTACACACACACACACAAAGAATACATTTCTGATCGTCGACGTTTCGCACGTAGCACTGCACCTACCGGCAATTACGTGCAGTGGTTGATTGATTTCACACGACCAATACGCCTTACGTGCCCGCGCCTCACACCAACACCACGCGCCTGCCTTTTGAAGAGCACTTTGCCTGTAGTTCCACCGCCTTCACTGAACAGCGGCCAATGCGCCATTGAGGAGCATGAGGGGTATGGGTTCTCTTTCACTGCGCGCTAGTAGCGCTCACTAACATAAAAAGCGCTTTCGGTTTCCATGGAAACTTGATAAACTTGTTTAGCTTTAATCACCGAACGCTTGACAGCCTTTGCCTCTCTTTCAGAAAAGAACATGGCATTGACTTCGGGCGACATCTATACTATTCCTCACGAGACTGCCGACCAGCGCCATCTAGCCAGGAAAACAAGAGAAGAGACTGAGAGCCACGAATGCGGACTTCTGACCAAGACGACCCTTTATAACATTTAATCCAGCTAATCAACGAACGCCGAGTTTTCGTAATACTCTATGGTTGATTTATGTAACTATGGCCGACATAAGATAGCTGCCGTCCAGTCGCGAGGCAGCGCTGCGCCAGTGCTCACGATCGCGTCGTACCCTGATGGATCCGTGTTTCAATCATTGCTTCTTTGCGTTGCTTCTGCTGGTATATATTGCGAATAATAATATATACTGAGACACGAACTCTTTTTTATCTTTATTAGCAAAAAAGGTCGCCATCGGGCAGCCAGCCACAGTGTACCTACTACAAAAACGGTCGCCGTCGGGCAGCTAAGCTCAATAAAAGCTGAAACAGACTCTTTCCGCAGTCAGGAAATCGCACGCGAGAGCCTATTCAAATGCATTAAAATCCTTCCCGCATCATTCGTATGCGGGAGGTGCGTACGATTGATGCGAGCGTGATTTAATGCATTTGAATAGGATCTCGCATGCGATTTCCTGACTGCGGAGAGTCTGTTTCAACCTTTACACCATAAAAAACAGCCACCGCCGGCTCACAAAGTCGCACAACACTACACAAACGGTCGTCACCGGGCGGTCAGCCATCAGCTGAACGAAAGGTCCCATCATAAATGCCACTGAGAATAAGAAGCCATGATGATGATGATGATGATGATGACGGCGATGGTTTGAGGTTTTTGGGCGTCCGGACTGCAGTGGTCATCGGCGCCCATAACACGACATTAGAAGATCACGTTATGATTATAAAAAAGAAAACGCAGGAGAAACTACTTAGATCCCAAATTAATACGCCTGAGCAGAAATATGTTTACCTACGCTCCTGGAGAAAATATGACGAACATCAACTACTCATCACAGCCTTCGCCTCATATGATTTGTACTTGTCATAAGGAACCAAGGACTAGCATGAAGACCATCTGTTCTAGAAGGTATCCCTGATAGTGATGTCAGTTACAGAAAATCTGAATACCGATACCAAACCAAATACCAACCAAAACCGTAGGAAAATACTGAGACCGAACCAACTAGGAAATATGATGGAAATACAACCTTTTAACCAAATTCACAGCCCCTTTCACATTAGCGAGGATCCATGATACAAACAAAAATACCAAACACATTTGGATTGAAATACCAAATACCAAGTCGGTATCGGTTGGTATCGTTATACCAAAAAATTGGTATCTGATTGACATCTCTAATCCCTGATATCAGCAGAATGGACCATATCTGGACTACATAAAGCTAGAGAAAGATTAAATAAACATAAAGCTAAACACTTGACACGTGGCTACAGGCCAGCACTGCGCTGGCCTACTCGCTGGTGAGGCACAGCCTCACCAGCTCGCGCCTGATGGCGCTGTATGCTGACGGCGTCAGGTGGACGCCGTCATCATCATACAACGCCGAGACCGGTGGAGCGGCGTTGGCGTCCGGCGGCGGCGGGCGTCCGGGAACCCACCCCGTGGCCCAGGCGACGTCCGGGACCGGCGCGCGCTGGGCCTCGGCGAGGGCAGCTCGGCACGCTGCCACCTCCCTCGCCGCCCTCTCCGCCTCCTCCAGGACCTCGGTGGCGACGGACGCCACGGCCCGCGAGGCCGTGAGTAGCCGGTTGGGTAGCAGGCCCTCCTCAGCCTCCTGGTGTAGATGACAGAACAGGGTTGGTTTTTAACTTGCAGAATACAGAAACTTTATGCACTCATGGAAAAGTCAAAAGCAATATCCCACTACGTTAATTTGCGGCCCACCGCCCACATAAACAGTGCTAAATCAAAACTTAAATATGTTATGGTAAGTGGAAAATATTGAACATTGTCAGCAAGCTTACTGATAAGTACGACAAGCACATACATTTCATGGCATACATACATTTACATAAATTACATTTCATACATACATAAATACATTTCATGCATACATTTCATACATTTCATCTATTCCGGTTTTTTTTTCAAATTTGTGTGACATTGCACTGCACATATTCGGTACATTATATTCCTTTCTTTTTTAATTCACAATGCATAAATGACTGAGACTTCATCACTTCTTCGACACTCACCAGCTGTAGGTGGCCTATGGCGGCTTGGAGGGCCGCTCGGCTGGTGCCGCGCCCCGGGGCCGTGTCGTCGGTGGCGGGGCGGGAGGAGGCGTGGCCGGGCGTGACACCCTGGAGCACGGCCGGGTCCGGGGTGGCGGTGGCGGAGCTTGGAGCCATGCCGGCGACATCCCGGCGCAGGACCGCCTCGACGTCCAGGAAGGCTGCCCCGCGCTGCCTGGCGACCTGCCAGAGGGTCAGGCTGAGGCCCCGGAACATGTCCAGGGCCTCCGCCGACAGGTCCCTCTCCGGCAGGACGCTTAGGATGACGGCGCGGGTGCCTGGGATCACCAGCTCCAGGGTGCTGAGCCAGTGCTCCATGCCGGAGACGACGCGAGCGGCGGCCCCGGCGGCGTCCTCGAGCAGAGGCACTGGTGCTCCCTGGACGCGGTCACCCCGCCTCGGGACGAGGGCCGGCCCGCCAACGCAGATGACTGCGAAGGAGGGCCAGACCCCGTCCAGAGCATGGGTGGCGGCGTCCAGACGACGCCAGTCCTCGCTGGAGCCGCCACCGAGGCCGCCGATCGTGCCGCCGTCCGGCCGCACCCACTTGACGTCGAGACGGTGCCGCCCGATGTGCCGGGAAGCGTCCTCGGCGATCGGGTGCACGAAGGCGCGGATGGCGTGTGAGTTACCAAACACGGCCACCCGCACCTCCGCGCACAGCGCCGGCTGCCGTGTTGGCCGGTGGCCTCCGCGCCGGCTCCGGTAGGGCTCTCTGCCGGTACGCAGAACCAGCGACCGATCCCGAGGCCGCCCCCCGTCCTGGAAACGTCAAAACAAGACACAAAGGTTGAAACCTCTGGAAAATAATCAGTTAGAAACACGTCGAGGAATATCGGGTCTGGTGTTAAGGTTCATGCTACATTGGGATGAGGGAATCGATAATCATACCATAGCACATGGTTAAGGTTTTACTCAGTATTCTTCGCCAAGTGCAGTAGAGTCAGTCATAGATCATACTTATCGCATTTGTTATTTTTTAGCCGTTGAAGGGGAGATGTCGGCGGATTGAGGCACATCAAAAACGTTTTCTCACATGTTTCCATCTCTCAGCGTGGCGGGCAAAATCAGCCACCCCAGGCAGCGGCGCGAGGAGCCGGATGGAATGATACATGAATGTACCTATCAAGGGCGATGAAAGCGGTATATCTGTGGAGGTTGCTCCAAGAGATACATTCATGTACCACGCTGCCCGCACTAGACGCAGCTTATTCTTATTCCGTAGAGAAATTATTGATGCCCATTTGCTGCACCGTTACTAAAAAAAAAAAATTAACGCAAAAGCTACGTCTAGAGCCCGTCCAAAAGACGGACAATACGAATGAACAATGACCAATGCAGTGAACAAGGGTAACACATTACGCCACACACATTCACACGAACAGGCAGACATGCTGAAAGTGACACAGCATCATGACCCTAACAAGTGAAGTACAGTAACGCACCTGCATGCATCACTCACATGCCCTCCTCCAATCTGCCACCGCCCTTTCCAGCATACAACACCAGCATGTACACAACACACACACAAACAAGACACACACACGAGTATGACAATGCACATCTTATTCGGATGTATTCTACGCCCGCAAGACGATAATACGTCATGGGTATTGTAGATACTGAAACTGTCATGATTATTCACGTCTGATCCAGACGTAGTCTACGCCCGCAAGACGATTATACGTCATGGGTATTGTGGAACTGGATACTGAAGCTGTTATGATTATTCACGTCCGATCCCGATGTATTCTACGCCCGCCAGACGATTATACGTCATGGGTATTGTAGACACTGAAGCTGTCATGATTATTCACGTCTGATCCAGACGTAGTCTACGCCCGCCAGACGATTATACGTCATGGGTATTGTAGACACTGAAGCTGTCATGATTATTCACGTCTGATCCAGACGTAGTCTACGCCCGCCAGACGATTATACGTCATGGGTATTGTAGACACTGAAGCTGTCATTATTATTCACGTCTGATCCCGATGTATTCTACACCCGCCAGACGATAATACGTCATGGGTATTGTAGAAAAATGCAGTCGTAAGTACTAACGTCCGATCCGGATGTAGTTACTTGACAGTAACGGCCATTTCTGCTGACTCGGATTCCGAATGACAAATACCGGTAATATGTCACTGCTAGGAGGTATGTTTGCACTTCCTGTCAGCGCCAAGACTGCATCATACGATAGATTAGGATGCATGCGTTATAAGAAAGTAGTTCCTTAACTGTTTCTTGATTAACATTGCTCACTTTTTCGTCATCACATTTGAAAAAAAACTCGCCTCTTCTTATCAGGCATTGGTAATGTCCATGCTCCCTCGTTCCCCAATGTAATATGGCACCTACCAAATGATAAGCTTTATTTCCGCCTGGTATACGAAGTCCCTCTAGAGGACAATCAAGTGCAATTTTTTGACGCCTGTCATAATCCGGACGTTGCATATTCAGTACCATGACTTCAGGCTCACAAGAGATGGATGTCGTGTGTGCCCCTCCACGCCCAGAACATTCATCGTTGCCACAACTGAAGTCGTCTAAAATTGTTGCTGAGCAGTAATCACTCAAACATTCATACACGGTACTTCTTTTATTGCACCAAAGATGTAACTGATGCTGATTTACATGTTTGTCTGATGAGTATGAGCAATGTCTGCACTTCAATGTTGTTGTTGTATCTATTCTAGCGCTGTCGATATTCATTCCGCCTTCTAGGAATACCTTAAAAATGCATTCTAGCGCCTCCGACGAGTCCTGTTGTTCGTCATTATGGAATATCTCAAACTTTTTTGCAAGGATACCCTTGATGGTTCCTGGATCGGAACATATTTCGGAATTATAGCAATCACGCAAATTGTTTATCAATAAATTTGCATAATGATCATGGCCCGAGCCACCTCTTTTTATCCTCAACAAAGGAAGAATTTGGAGAACAGTTATAAGATAGCAGTCGTTACGGCGGTTGATCATTCCCCTGGGAGTTTGTTGCGCATGAAAAAGAACGGCATCCGAAAAGGAATACTGTTCAGCATTATCATTGTCATCGCCACCTGGAGACATATTAGTAGTACTCATCTCGGAAAAACGTGTGTCGTCTTCAACAGCAAACATTTCCGATGGCCGGGCCTGGGAAGTCGGTGATCCAACACTACGTCCACTTTCATTGCGCTTATCACGAAGCTCTATTTCGTTGTGCTCCTTCTCATGCCTTAAATCAATCAGTGGTGATTTGGCAGCTTCAGGCTCTTTCGGGGGTTTAGAAACGTTCTGCTTGCTTTTTATAAACGTGAGGATCGAACTCTGCTTCCACTTTGTCACTGCTGCTAGTTCCACTGAATGCCCAGATGCAATTGGCGAATCTAAATCATCTGGGTCGTTATCTGAGTCATTAACATCTACCTGTCGTTGAGATCGTAGTTGCTGTGGTTCACTTTGTTCAAATGACACCTCTTTGTCAGTTTGCGCTCGAGCCTGAACAAAATCATCAACTTCCATAGCATTATCATCTGACGCAACATCAGCATGTTCAGAGGCAGTTTCACCAATGCTCTGCGACATATGATCTTCACCTGAAGAACTATGAGCGTGTACATCACTAGAAGCGTGGACAACATCTGTACGGAGATTCGAATCTGTGTTCACTGTACTATCACCCGCAAGACCTTCATTGTTATCTGATGTCAGCACGGGGGAGCCCACGCTACGATCCTCTTGCGTAACATCATCTGACGTGGTACCTGCTTCTCTGGGCTGTTGGTCCAAATGGTAAGATGTCATAAATTTCACTTTCGATGGTTGATGCTTACGAAGGTAAGCAGGGGTTTTCTTGCCTCGTTTTTTAAGTACACCATAATGAAACTTTGACCACTCCTCTTTAATGGCATCAATTGGTAGATCATGTAATTCAAGTCCTAGCTCACGGATGTAAACTTCTTTAGCACACCTGTCCTTCTCCAGCGGTTTCAGTTCATTAAACTTGCCACCGAATCTGTTTTCCGAAAGATCCTTGACTAATTTACCTGTTCTTTCCGTATCAGACTGTGATCGACATAGCAACACTGCTATTTCCATCAATTCAATAACATCTGGAATACTGACGTGCAGCTGACTCGAGGGCCTTAGAAAATCATGTAGAATGAATCCGACCGACAATATCTTTACACCATTGTCGTCTGCATACCATTCAGCACGTAACTGAATTTGACCAGATACGCGGTTCTTAAAAACGATATACTGGTCTTCAACGCACCTGCATTCTTTTTCGTGCCGGCACATGGAACTATGTTTCCCTGGAAAACGTATGTTACTGTGAGTACAGAAGAACTTGACTACTTCGCGAAGCTCCTTATTCCTGAATTGTTTCAAAGCCAACTTGTCGTGCAAAGGAAATGTGGGAATATCGAAAATTTTCATCATTTTATCTTCAACCTCTGTAACGTCCAAAAAGGCGTCAAGTTCATCAAGAAGAGCTTGGGCTAGCTGAGCCTGCCTTTCCATAGCTCGTTTGAGGGCGTCTTTGAGTGTTGAATGGTAACTGCTACCGATTCTAGTACTCCGTTTATGAGAAGTGACTAATAAGCTCACGTTTTCGAAGTCGAATCCGTTGAACCGTCCTTTACGGAACTCTTTACCGTGTTTCCGTATCAGAGGATTGGATTTGCCGTCGCAAGCTTCTTGGAGAGCAAGACGACACGCATCTATCGCTTTACGATCATCCCACAAAGAATAAGTAGCTTTCTGTGCAGCTTTACTGACTTTCTTGACAATATCTAAGACATATAACAGCACCAGGGCGGTAGGAATGAAATCGATATCGCACAAGACATCTAGGGCTTGAAGTTTATCTGGATCGTTATCACGGCGCCCATCATTCTCTATCGTCATAACTACATTCCCATACTGTTTGATAATTGAATTAATCGCTAGTACAGTGTACTCAATAAATCTCGTGTCAACATTTCTATAGAGAACAGTAAATGTGGGATCGATCCTTCGAGCCAATCGCATAAGTTTTGATGACCGATTAATTGCCCCTACCACTTTATCAACATTTGATCTGATGAAGACTCTTGCCCACTGAAATTCGTCTTTTCTAAAAACACTGTCAGTCCATAATTCTACCTTATGGGCTCTGTCAAGCAAATGCAGAAATGCGTTGTTATTGAATCTTTCACGCCATCTTACCGCTACACCGGACTGTTGTCCTGCATAAACAGCTTCTTTATCAGAGCTCATGGAGAAGCACATTGTACCGACACTCCGAGGCGAAAGATCTAGGACTGATTTTGTCAGGACATCACATATGTGTTCTAGACAGCCAACAGCGTCCGACTCGTGCGTGACACCTTCCGCTGCGTCAGCCTCCGAAGCCCTATTTCTGATAACATCGACTGACAAGTTTGTTACCTTGGGAGCACCATCCACGTCAATAAACCTTATATTAACTACCTGTCTTGACGTTCTTTCAGCCGTGACTTTGTCAGCACTAATGTGGAAGTGTCTTAGACGTCCTGTTGTCGGATTTACAGATTTTAAAAAACTGCAATGTGACTTTCGAAGCACTTCATATATAACGTCTATTGCAGAGGCAGCAGCCTTACGACTTGTGTTCCAATCAATGTGTGAGAATGTTTCTTTTGTAGACATCATATTTGAGAACAATCTATTCATAAGTGACTCAAATGCAGCATAAGAATGCCCCAATAGCAGGTTATGATATGCAGCCATCAGCATGTCCCTTGTCAGATTATCATCTAGCCGTTTATGCTTCTCGCACTGTAAACCAAACAGGCTTTGTATTCTGTCACGCTCTTCAGGCACCTGCATGCATGCCTTATGAACAGCAGTGGCTGCATGCCTAGCGATAATTTCAAGTCTATTCTTTTTTAGCGAAACGCCTTCCGTTGTCCAACGCAGTGCTTTATGCTGGCCTCGCATGGCCGAAACAGTTGCCTTATTAGCAATGCACGTTGAACAAAATCCTAATTCCTCTGAGCCTGTACCCCGAGTGAGAAGCCATGGAAACTGTTTGGCAGTGTCAGCACTTCGTGCCTTTGCTGCTCCTGGAGAAATTTTTTTCTCAAGCTCAGTCATCTCTTTCCTGAGAGAGGCGCGCGAAACAAATTCAGAGTCGTGACTATCGATTTTCCTAGATAGCATACGAATTTCACACAGTATGTCTCGTAACATCTGGGATTCAACCAAATCGTCACCCATGACACCTGGCTGCTGAGCACCACCTTCACTTATACACTCAGCCTGCTGCAGCCGTACGGTCGGTGTCGACGTGCTCTGCGCTGTGTCCCGTTCTTGTGTGGTATCTGTCACAGTTACGGGGGGGCTCGTGCGGCCGGGATAATTATCACAGACTTGATTAATTCGATCCGGAGATGGGTGCTCGTGGTATGATGATTGAACGGAGTCTCTCTCAGTTGTCATGACATCGTTTCTCTCACTTGCGATAGTATGTATCAGTACACTAGGGGATCCCTGTCCCAACGGTGTTTCGGCATTGGCAGTAATGTCAGGCTCGTTGTCAGTGATAATGACAGTGACTGGCTCATTGTCATCGTTTTCCCTTGTAGAACGAGATTTTACAATAGCCTTCTCTATGAGATAGCCAGTAACACCACGGGGATTTTTTCTCATAGCATCTAAGTAAGCTTCTCTATGTTTCGATTTCACATGACGTGGGAAATTCTTTGTTGAAATTGACTTAGGGCATAAATGACATGTTACTGTTCCTTTAACATGTGAGCGTGTAGCGAACCGTATTCGTTCAGAAGACTTCCTACTAGCCTTACTCTTGACGACAGGTCTCGGACGTTCATCGTCATGCACCTGAAAAGAAAAAGTACTTTGTTTTACTGCAAAAGAAAGTTAACACTTACCCCTTATCCACTAATGTTTTATATACACCTAATGGGGGGGGGGGGTCAACCAACTGCGTAAAGGTTTGGTGGTGGGGGGGGGGGGGGGGGCAGGGCACTGCAGGGGTGGTGTCTACTCAACAACCTCTGCTCAGCGTCGAATAAGCAGAGAACCACAACAATGCCCCTTAACCCTCGCCCGCACATGGGGGGTTGCCACCCCCCCCCCCCCCAGGTAGTTTTTCTGCTCTGCACTCAACATTTTTAGAGCTAGAAGCCTGTAGCTGCTCCCCTATCCTTTCTTGATGTCCACTGAAAATTTCAAGTTTCTGTGGTTTTTGGTTTCGGAGATATGACCTTGTTCTTCAGGTCATGTCATGACCCAAATGACAAATACCCAATATCTTGCGTTGGCTATGGGTCTTGTGAGCTTTTGACACCTTGATTTCGGCCTTTTTTGCCAGTCTTACCTCCCACCTATCATGAAACATGTTGTTCGACGATGTCAGATGTCAAGGTCAGGGTCAAGGTCAACCTAGGTCATCTAAGAATATTGCGTTTTAGGCAAGCTGAATTTACTTTTGTTAAGTTTCTTTGACTGTATTTTTGGTAAAAGCTTCTCATTTCATGATCTCATGTAATATGGACACCTAAACAATCGGTGCACACATCAGTATACACACAGACACACACAGACATACAACACATATAATTGACCTTGACCTAACTTGACCTGAAATGACCTCAGCAGCAAAAACCTGGTCGGATAGTGTGACAAAGAGGTTCTAGCTGGCCTGGCACCAGAAAACAGCATCGTCATCGGTATTTGATAAGCAGCGCACTTGATATCCAACGGTGACCCAAAACAGCAACATTTTTTAGTTTGACCTGACCTGGAAGGTCAATGACTGACCTGAGAAGGTAAAACTGGGTATCATTGGATTCGTCTCTTCCCAAAGAATCTTTTTGATCTTTACCGTGAAGCTCTATCTCCAACAGGAACGAAATGGCGCGGGGGGGGGGGGTGGCAACCACACCCCCCCATGTGCGTTCTAGGATGGGAAAATGGCATGTGCGGGCGAGGGTTAAAGCTAGTTTTCATATCAAAATATTTAAAGGGATAGGAAGTTAGAAATTCCTCTAAAAAAAACGGGGATGAGGGTGGAAAACCGCTGGTCAGATAGGCCCAAAAAGAATGAACAAATAATTAATATTGATAACATTCATTTCTATACAAATGTGTTAATGCAGGATAAACAGCGACCATCCACGCAAATACTTTTTTCTGTTTAATTGAGAGTGCAAAATTGTTCTTAAAAACTGTAGGTGAGAGTGCAAAATAATTTTCATTTGGATGTTGCTTCCCACCCAAATCAACAAATTTTGAAACACTGTCTCAACTCAAATCTTATGTTAAGGTGGGATGGTCACTTTAAGGAGTGAGTAAGCACATGCATCAAATAAATGTTTGCAGCCCAGCTATAAAGTAGAAACACAAACCTGACACCAGCTGTCAAATGTCAACCTGCCACCAACCATCATAAAAAGCCCAATTATCATGGCATCATTACCATCACATGCAATCACTTACAACTCAATGATGATTTCACATGGGATTCTCTGCAAGGGAAAAGTGAAGTAAAATCTTATTTATGTGAGACTAAACAACTTTCAAATTTCACATAAAACTGATAAAAGCATTAAGTGCACCTCAATTTCATACCGAGTGGTGCCCAGTGGTACCTATTTCATTATCGTCTACAAAAGCAGCACCAAAAGGTAGGTACCTACTGATTTTCACAACACAAACAATGACACTTGATCCAGTAGTCTATCTGGATAAACAAAAACACCAAGAAATTGAGAACATACAATTCCGGACATCCAAAGAGGAAAAAAATTTGAGACCCACATATTTGTATTTCATTTTGCTATGGAAATGTCTAATAGCATTCATAAAAGTCAATAATGCTTATCAGAATCATGGAAACAAACTTACGTTTTGACTCATTACTGCTGATGCTGAGGTTGTTGGGCTGCCACCTTGCCCTGCATCTGTAGCCCTATAAACACAGGGTGGGTGGGAGGGCGTAAGAGCACTGGTTGTGGTCCTGAATGTTTTGGTTTGGTAAGTCTGGCATAAAGTAACACAAAGATACTAGATAGCATGGCATGGGCATCACATCACTTTTCAAATTTGTACGCAAGATTAATTATTAATTTTAGGATAGCGTCTAGCAAAGCCATTCTTGCCAATTGCCATGCACTGTCATAAGATTAATGTCAATGTTAAAATTCTGAAATTATTGTTATTGGTAGCACTGGCGCCCTACCAAGCCTATAGAAAACGATGCCCATGGATCATGATGCCGATGTCCGTTCTGTGTTCACCATTACAGACAACAAACACAAAGACATGTCAGAATTAAAAATCATGCAAATCCTAGCCTTCTCAGGTCGCGAGGTTTACATGTAAGCACATTGCACACCAACCCGAACTGGATGAGATTGCAACTTTTCGATTTCATAAATCGTAGGTACCTATATCCTACATACTGCAAGGTAAGTTAGGTACTTACAACAATGAACAAATCACTCAGCAATGATCGTCGAGCGACGCCGGCAGCAAGACAAAGAACCCTCGCTGGCGGGGGTGTCCCTCCCCCGGCGCCGGCTTGTTTGCGTCGCTTCCATGCTTCCATATCCTCGGGCTTTGGCCTCGGGCCGAGCCTCAGGCTCCCCACCCTCTGTCCTCTCCCTTTACTTGTACTCGCCTCGCTCTTTCCCTGGCGGTCGCGGGCTCATGCCCTGATACAAGCTAGATGCGGCTGCTAAATTAAGGACTTCATTTGGAGAGGCGCAAAAATATTTGAAGATCCCATCTCAGTATACGTTTTCTCATCAACCATGCATACAATGACATCAAAACGCCGTGTGCTAAATCTACAAAGAATTTGCTTTGAATTTCAGTAAAAAAAATAAAAAAAACTAATTTCGTTTTCAAAATTTTTTTGGAGTTTGAATAAGTTGTGACCGTGAAAAAATAGATATTTTAAAACCGAAAATTTTGCTACAATTTCTTTTTCAAAGGGTATAAAATGCCAAAGATGATTAGTTAGGGCTTTGAAGATTTGATTTTTGACAATTTTGTTACATGTTACTGTCTAAACATTCATAATTTGTTGAATAAGATGAACTCTCAAAATTGCTCGGTTTTAGGCTCCGACCCCAAGAACGTCAATTTTGCCAACTAGGCGAAATCTCACCAAGGCATTTACGACGCAGATCTTAGGTATTTGTCTCGAAAGTTTTGTGGACGCGTGGTAATGGTAATTTTATAGTGTGTGGTAGGCTCCGTCTAATGCTAGTGATTGCAAGTTTTTACTTTTGGTAAGTTTTGATGGTTGCTAATGCTTATTCTTGTTTTAACCTACTAATTCAGTGGCTGGTACTACTGGTGATTTTATCTAACTTAGATATCGTCTGCCATTGCTCATTTGTGATTCAGATTGAGGTTCCTACCTACCAATTATAATTCATGGATTATTTGGCTGGTACCTACGCCATACTGAGTGATTACTTTTATGACCATTTAAAACCTCTTTATTCATGCAACGTAGCTTCCAGTTATGAATATATTTGTATTTGATTTCAATTAACATTTCACAAGTCAGAGTCACCAGTCACCACTCATTACAATGCATTCACACTTCAGCATCATACCGCTCAAAAAATGAAATATCAAGGAACGGTAAATCCTATTACTCTTCATATCGGTGCTAAGGCTTCTTTTCTTTGTTCTTTATATTAGGTATTACTGCTGTTTTCATTGGTGATGTCTTGTAGATTTCCTGAAAAGTGAGAACAAAATAATCATTATTTTCCAGTAATGAGTACTGAGTACAAAATTTCTCAGTGTCTGGAGACACCAATCAGCGGCAACTTTGCCAACCCTGCGTGAATGTGGAATAACAACTTAATGTACAACCACCTGGCCTAATAATGATTTCGTCCCAGGTCGTTGCCAGCAGCACCTCCGTAATCACAGAGGTAACTCAGCTTTGGTCTCCCTTGGGACCTATGGCCCTTAACAATTATTGGAAGGGTAGGTACCTAGGTACCTTGTTTGATTCCCCAGCAATGCCATATATTGCAGCCCTCTTGGGCACTGCCTTGGCCCCGGGCATGCAAATTTGAATAATTCAAACGTACTGTTGAGTTTCAGGTTAAAATACCCATACAGGGTGTTGCAGATAAATCCGACACTTGAGAGGCAAAATACGAAATCGGCAATGAAAGCATGAATATTGCACACACAGGCCAGGGATTTTATTCAGCACCAGTTCGAGTCATATGCTGCACTTCTACTCGATGTAACCGCCGTCGGCGGCGACGACCATCTCAAGCCGAGGGCGAAATGATTCGCACGCCTTGGCGATCGTGTCCTTGTCTACGGCGGCGAACTCTGCCACGATGGCGGCCTTGAGAGAGTCGACGGTATTGTGTGCGTGCTTGTTGGTCTTGGCCTCGATCACGCCCCAGAAGAAATAATCGAGGGGGTTGCAGTCAGGTGAGGAGGGCGGCCACAAGTCCGGCGACCAGTGGTGAGGGACGTTGTTGAGCAGCCACGCCTGCGTCGTCCTGGCCTTGTGCGCCGGGGCGGAGTCTTGCTGGAAGACGTGGGGGCGTCCGTTGGCGATCCTGTATTTAAGTTTTGGGGGAGGCAATTGATCATAGAGATGTAACATACTGCCCAATTTTTCATCGTGAGCATAGCACTCGAATAAACACATTTTTTCCAAGTGTCGGATTTATCTGCAACGCCCTGTATAACTTTCAAAGCATTGCAACTATAAGTAAAAACTGCACCCCACACCACACACATAGACTGACATTTCAAGAAAAAATATTAACAATCTAAATACATGATTATATCTGGAAATATGACAGCATAATCCAATGTTTACATTTTCAGAGAGGTGTCCGAGCAACTCATTTCTACTCACTCAGACAAAGGTATTTGATGAAATGGCACCAAAGACTCAGGATTTGTTGAATGATGTCTAAAGTTGTCAAAAATAACAAAAAATTGTCATGTCTTACAATATTTCGCGAAAAAACTAGGTTGAAATGACTGAGGGTAAAGCTGCGTCACTTTCGTATCAAACACACTCACCGGTTTTGTACGCTGATAGCGCGGCAACGCCACACTTCTACCTAACAAATTTAATTTTGTTGGGTGAATAAGACGTTACCATTATTTTGCTACCATTTAAGGACTATTCCATCGAAAAACACCGTCGGGAAAAAATTATTACCGAGGGGATACACCATGCCACGGACATAGCTAGATCGCGGCCGTAAATCGCCGTAGCAAAATTGCAATAAATGTGTTGTATTTGGCACATCTTTTCATAGTGGGATTGAATAATTGAATATTTCTTATCTCAGATATGCCGAAAAAATATTCTGAACATTTAATGAGTACGATAAAACAGGAGTAAAAACAGATGAATGCACTTGCCCATTCCTCGGTGACCTTGACTTTTCAAGTCATAACTCCCAAAGTCCAATCTCAAATGTTCTGGCCAGTTCACAATGTGTAGGATCGAGTTTTCTCTTGTCACTCAGCCAAAAATATCGCGGTTATGAGCAGTTCTTCTATGGTTATGAAGGGTTTGAATGTGGACATGTCGGAAATATAATCTAAATATTGATTATCACTCCTTATATGGTCATCGCTCCGCCCATTTTCGTGACGTCATAATCTGAAATTAGATTAATCTTATTTTAGATTGCCTCCCTGCAGTTTGCCCGACTGTCTTGCTTCCTATCATCCCAGATTCCGAGGGATCCCAGTATGAAGATGCAAATAGATATTGTATGAAATTGTTAGTGATGATTTTGACTGCAGAGTGCCAATCAGTGGGTATGTGTATCAGGCACCTTCTTATTCCGCGTCTTTGTTTTGGATGTCTATTGTTTATAAGGGTGTCCAGTCATTTTATTCAGTATATCTGGAGATACTTTCAAAACAACATATTTCTAGACAGTTTGTTGTTACCAGTGCAGTTAGACACATGCCATTCTAATGTTCCCTTTTCTATCTGATTTCAGGTGTACCCTAACCCATGTTTGACAATGGGCAATGTTGAACCAGAGGAATGTTCTGGGCTGCTCTCTGCAAGATCTTCAGACCAGTCATCCCTAGGGCTAATCAAACTAGACTCAGTTGCTGGTTGGTTCAGCTTGTTTTTCTTGCTTTGCTATCTCTATGTACTTTACTTTTCCACTCCTTTCAATACCAGTTGTATCCAGTTGCTTATCACTTCAATATTTCTAATATTTGCCTATGCCTCTTACATTTCATTTGGAATATATGGTCAATCATACACTTGAAAACGCATGTTTCTTGACCCCAGGCTTGTCAGGCTGTCTGCTGGAGGATGACTCGCTGCCCTCGACACGACCAGCACTCTCTCCTGTGAAGGAGACTGAGCCACGCACCTCTGCCGCGGCTCCTGGGCGGCCCAGTTACGGTAAGTAATACCCCTTCCCAGGGGTTGACGAGGTGGTTGGGGTCTGGGAGACACAATTATGGCAATTAATCGACCCTGGCAGATGAAGCGTGCATCTGATATTGCAAGGTTAAATGGTCTCATTGTGTTCAGCTCGTTAAATGCTCGCTGCTCGCTTTCCCCCTCCCCCGCGGTTGACGGCCGGACGGTTCCAGATGGCATTTCCCTTCGGTTTGACAGTTGCGCTCAGTCATGGACCATGGTAATACCCAACTCTCTGGGAGGGCAGCGGGTCGTGGGCAGGGGTACGGAGCCGGAGCAGGAGCAGGAGTCGTCGGAGCCGGCATATTTTACCCGGAGCCGGAGCCGTGAAACAATATAGCCCGGAGCCGGAGCCGGAACCGTCAAAAAAGGGGGCGACTCCGGCTCCTTTTTTTTGAAGAGGAGAAAATTATTGACCCAGTTCGATTTGACAGTTCAAGGCAGTAAAACATGCAGTATTCAAAACATAAAAATAGCCTTGTTATGCAAATACAGAAGCAACTTGCACCAATCCCATCGTATTTTTTCTTCCACCCCTATTTAATTGCATAGGGGATGTATAGAGCATTGGAGCTTGAGCCGGACCATTTTACTCGGAGCCGGAGCCGTCTGAAATTTCCACGGCTCCGCATCCCTGGTCGTGGGTCGCGCTACAACCAGAGCGGAACTTGAAAATACCATGAGCAGTGCAAATTTGTACGATGGGGACCACAATTGGCGGCTGGCGGGCAATAAGCAACCTTCGCCGGGCCGGTGCTAGGCGCAGCCAAGGCCATATAACCGGCGCAGCCTTCGCCGGGTCTAGGGGGAATATTCGAACATCCCCCGCCTTCCTTCTAACTCGGCTCCTGGGCCACGTAACGACGAGCGGTGGGAAAGTCACGTTCGAAGGAGCATCAATAGTCATGCGAAAGTACTTTAAGTTGACGGTTTAGCACCATTAGGCCATAAGCTCTTTAAATTAACTTCTTTATGGAAAGCATTTTTACGCAACAACTTTAACACCGAGTTTGTATTACGTGTATTTTACCGACATGGTGTTTCTCTCGTTGAGCAGCGTTCAATGCGCTATGATTGGGCCTTTTTAGGTTGGTCACGTGATGGGACCTGGGAACATGACTTGGGGACCCGGGTCTGAAATTTTCACATGCAGAGGAGATGCATCAGAAGGTGTGCCAGAGCGCCGGCGTTTTTACATATCTGCGAAAACCCGCCTGTTCAAACACCATCCTCTGGCCCTGGGCGGTTTGATCTCGCTGGATAATAATCGAATCACGATTCCCCGCCTCCTGGAAGTGTGTTGAAATCAAAATGTTCGGTGATTGAAAGAAATACTAAATGCTTGTCATTTGGGAGGCTAATATATTTACACTTATTTGGCTGTCAAATGTTTATTTTGTCAGCAGGCATGCTCAGCTTTGAAGAGGCCGTCTCCGAAAATGGACTGGACAACACGGGCTACGATGACGCTTTGGATGCCACATTCAGCGAGGGAGAGTGTACAGGTAAATGTCGTCCTACGAGTCATACACTAGTGCAAGATGAGTGGCCGTATCTGCACTCTCCCTATCATTGTCCCAAGTGGTGGAGCTTCCGATACTCTCACGAGGGAAATGGCAATATATTGGGCCCGGTTCGTCGGGGATGTTCTGGACTATGAGGCGAAGTCCGACGGATCAGGCCCGTGTATCTGCGGCCCGGGATCCGGTCGGCTTGGCGGGCGAATACTCACTAGTTGCTGCCATCCCCTGGTATGAGCAGATAAAGAAAAAGGCAACTGGAATTCATCTTTGATTCGGAAACCCCTCGTATCCATAGGTCACGGATTACGCATTACATTATTTGGCCTTGTGTACACCTACACAGCTGCGATACAAGGTCGCAATGTTTCCACACTTCCTCGCCGCTTTTCAGCGAATAAATGCGCCAGTAACCATCCTTGCATATGTCGATCCATGTACCATTTACGTCATCCGCTATCAATTTTATGCCGGTGTTGATGCGTTTTAACGAAACAACGCTTCTTATGGACGGTTAAGTTTACGCTTTTTTATTTTTCCTTGTTCCCACTCAACTTCTACAACAAGCGGATGATCTGTCTTTTATATTAGATTAGATAGCCACGCGATAACTTTGGTCACGCGTAACGGTGATATTCAATTATTGTCCCTAATCGTCAAGCTGCGCACCAGGCTTTCTCCTAGTCCTATTGGCTTCCGCATCTACACTACTCATTTCAGATTATTTTTGCCGTGCTTATTTTGAAAACGAGGAGTGTTTTGTGAAACAATAAATATTTGACTTTCACCATGCATCCGATATATCCGGATTACCAACTTTGAAAAAAATCAAACGCAATGATAGAAAATAAGAAACGAAGATAACAACTGAAAGCTTTCGCCGCTTATTCATTAATTCATATTGTCGTCATATTTGACGACTTCCCCACGTCACGATACCTGTATCTTAGAAGAAAAAGTCAAAAGCCTTGTTTACAAAAGCAGTTGTTCGGGCTTCCTGAACATCCATTCAAAATGTTGATATCGGTGCAAATCGTAAATTGAGTTTTAGTCAAATCATGACGTGTGTCGCACCATCTGCACTGTTTCCCGACATCAGCACAGTTGGTCGCTTCGATATCAGCTGACGGATCTCTCTCTCTCTCTCTCTCTCTCTCTCTCTCTCTCTCTCTCTCTCTCTCTCTCTCTCTCTCTCTCTCTCTCTCTCTCTCTCTCTCTCTCCTCTCTCTCTCTCTCCTCTCTCTCTCTCTCTCTCTCTCTCTCTCCCTCGCTCTCTCTCGCTCACAGATGGGTCTGAGGCGGAGGACGAGGCTGATGCTGACGGCGGTATAGACTCGCGCTACCTGCGCAGCGCTGCTCTGGATTCTGCCAGCCCCGCTGACAGGTAAACTAAGCGGCTCTCGGGCTCAGCCGCTCTTCCTACGAACTCAGTCGAGTTTACTTTATTACGGGCTCGCCCATGCCTCTCGTAAGCCCTGCCGTGCTTTCCTTAGACCCACCTGTCGTATCTACTGTTTAGCAGTAATTTTTACGGGTCTAGCCTTCCTAGCTAGCTAGCTGCTCCTAGCGGGCTCGAACGGACGGCTGTCTGAAAATCCTAGGGTGGTAGTGGCAGCGACTGAGTGGAAAAAGGGCCCAGAAACTTTGAGTACTTTAAAACTATCTAGTGGCTTTTCAGTGGTAGCTATTTTTATTACAACGCGAATGATATTCATTATCGTATCGTAATTTGTATCGATCGTAATCGCATCATAATTCAACACTATGGATCGCAGTTTAGCTAAAGCGGACAACTTTTCATCGCTGTTCGCCGTTCGGTCATCTATCATCATACCATGAGCCGTGGCGATACTACGCCACTATTACTCTGGTGACGCGTAGTAGTGGCTTAGCGCCAGCGGTCGTTATATGCTTCACGTAGATTGTCGATCGTAACTGCTTAGTGCTTAGGTACCCGATGTGCTGCTGATTCGTCCTAGCTTGTATGGCTAGTATGTAGTTTGTGGTAGATTGCCAGATACCTACGTTCTGTGCGCTGTTTTTTTGACACAACATCGGTTCCGTTTCAGGACGGAGGGCTCATCGCGCTGCGGTTTCGCCACTGACCAGAGCACGCTCTCGTTCCTAGACCCCAGCTCCCTGTGGCCGCCGACGGACGGTGCCCAGTCGCCCCTCCCCGTGACCCGCTCCTGTCCCGAGTCTCCCCTCTCCCCGGCGCTCCTCTCGCCTCCCGGTGTGAGCGCGCTCTGCCTCCCGGCCAGTCCTGGGTCGCCGGCGGCCGGCGGTGAGCCGCGCGCGGTCAGCCCCCTGGCGACGCTGTCGGCCGATGTACCGGCGCCGCGCGCGGTAGAGTCACAGGATATCAAACACCCCGACATACCTCCGCCGGCCGCGCTGTCCCCCGTGCTCCCTGCCCCCGTCCCCGCCTCCGCTGCCACCCCCGCCGATGAGCGCAGCCTCCTGCTGGCGTCCCGCTACCTGCGTCCGTCGCCGCCGCCGGCCGCTGTGCCCGGCGCCGCCGGCGGCGGCGGGTCGCTGATGAGCTCTCTCCACCTCAGTCTCCCGCTGGACTCCATCAGTGAGACGGGACTGGGCGCCGCCGACGGTACCCTGACCTCACGCGTACCGCGTCTCTTCGTCCCGGCGGCTGATGTGAGTAGATCGAGCTGAGGGAGATGAGATGAGGGAAGGCTGGGGTGGGGAGGGAGCGAAGGGGGTGTGTGAAACTTAATGAGTGCTGAATTTATATCGGGCGATTGGGTAGTATGCCTAAAATTTTGTGTTCAGAAGTGAGAGGAGTAACGATTTATTACGGATTATTATTACATTTACGGATGTATTATTTAAGCAGATTTCGAATGAACTTAAATAGTGTGAAATAGTTCGTCGATTCATCGACATAAATTAAATATGTTGGTAAATAACCGCTCTTTATTTTTTGCATCGTGCTGATGTCGGTATCGCTGGTGTGTGCAGCAGGCGGACATCAGCGGTCAGCAGATCTCGGCGCGATCCACCTCGATCGGAGCCGCTCGCAGCCCCGGATCACTGCCGGGCATCCAGGACGATACTGGTTTCGGGTAAGGCCAGACACGGGCCGATCCAGTCCAGATGACGCAAAGAATTACACCGATGGTATACTATGTATTATTGCACAATTTATTGTGCCGTTTACAGAAGCATACCCACAGAAGGAAAATGGGCGCAAAATGACCTCCGCAGTCGACGCGCCCTAAAGCCCAAATAAACATAAACCACAGAAGGAATTTAGTTGAGTGTGTTTTAATTAGTAAAAGGCTTTTTCACATTGTGGGTTGAATAAGCGCCGTATTTTTCGTGGTTTAGGTTGTATTTTGGCCTTCTTACTTTTCTCGATTTTTACCGTAAGAAGTGCTTTTGTTTGATTTTGCTCAAAGGAAGACCTTTGCGCGCGCTTTTATTTTAACAAATATCGACAGCTGTTTTGTCGCATTTGCTTCACTTTGAGCGATAATGACTACGATTAATACAAACAGCATTAAAATTAAAACGTCTCCATTTGCTTACGAAGATAATTTGTTTGGGGAATATTTTCTTGGCCAAATTGTTCTTGTGAGGCAACCGACGGTATAGATGTTACCTGTTAGGCAACTGCATCGTGATGATTGTTTGAGTGGGGATTGAAACGCATTAATTAAACGGCCTTTTCCAGATTTGGCAGTGGATGTTTTGATGGGCTGGAAGATTTTCAAAAGGAATTTGACGCCGGAGGATTCGCTAGTGGTGGTGAGTAATCAAGTCTTCTAAACCTTATTCATGTTATCTATGCATAACGGTTTCATTTTCACGTATCGATTCTTCTCACGTCAGTTAAACTTTTTGGGGGAGGGTGTTTCTAAGGACCATAAATGTCGCTAACTTAATCTTGAGCGCCTTTTTAATCATCTACATACATACTAGCTCCCCGACGAATGGGCTGCTCTGCGCTCTGTCAAACATCTCCGGTCACCTGTCTTGATCGGTGGCTCTGTTCTCGACAGGGGAGGCGTTCAAGGCGGAGCTGGATCAGGCGGAACAGAGTCTGGATAGAAACGGACTGCCCATGGTCGACTTCTCGCTGGCGTCAGGCACATACGACCCGCACACCAAATTCACGTACGATTGCTCGTCGCTCTCGCTTTGTTGCTTTGGATTTTGGTGAAACTTTGGCTTGAAGTGGTGATTGTTTTCGAGTGAGGATGGACAGACCTAGGCAGTACCTAACTAAACGTTATCACAGGAGCATTTGAAAAATGACCCAATTCCTATCCGACCATTGCACGTCTGGTTTTCAGGATTCGCACCTGTTTTGCGTATGTTGTGGGATTCTTTCGACATGTTCCTTTTATGTAAGTTGTGGACTTGCCTCATGTTTCCTTATTCACTTAGGTGTTTTCTTCACTGTCTATCGGTTACGCAACGGGGCAATATGCTCCCTTCAAACTGTAAATGTATCATTCAATCGAACAAATGACTTCCGTTTGATTTTACAGGCCCTCTGGCTGCGATGAGAGTGTAAACATTTCGCAGTATTTGAAGGCCGGCAGTTACCCGATGGGAGTTCTGGGTGACGCTTCAAACGTTGAGCCGGTATGTGTGAACTAAGTGTCAGTGAATTGATGTGTTTTTGACAACATTTTCAACATTATTGACATGATCTATTGGACAGAGCAAAGTTACATGACAATATAGGTGAATTTTTAGTTATATTGGGTGCTGCTTTTCCATAGTCCAGAGCAAAGAAACGCCTAGTTGCATTTTTATCTTGCCTTCCAGCGAATTCTTCTCTCGTTAGCCGTTATAACGCAAGCTGACTTTGCGGAATCGATGACATCGGTTATTTGAACCATCGCCCGATGTTTTACCGCTTGTTCTTTCGTTTCCGCCAGCCTCCCCGGTTCAGCATGAGCACGGTGCAGACCACGTGGCAATCCAACAGCGGACGGTTTCCGGACGAGGACTTCAATTCAACCAGCTCCAGTACGTTTCCAGCTGGGGAGTATGAAATCATGAGAACGGGATTTGTGTGTCTGTGGTTTTTTCAAGTCGCACCTGCATTGGCTACCTATTGAAATGCTATTTTCTTTCAGGTCGCTGAATGTTTTGCGCTGTGTAATTTTGACGTATTCCGTAATTAAGTTTTGAAGTCATGAGCATATGAAGCATATTTATTGCTAAGAATTGCAAATTAAAAGTTGCAACCGTGTTAACCCTCGCCCATGTTGGTGCAACCCCCCCCCCCCCCCCCCTGAGGTTTTTCTTAGCTACACGCCGAACCGTTTCAGATAGCCTGTTCAAATTCTCAGTACCCTTTGGGGCATCCTTTGCGCAACTTTTGGTATTTTTTTGTCAAGGTCATGTCAGGTCACGGAGTTATGACGTCATAAAGGGAACAACCTCCGGCCAGATTTACGCTAAATTGGAGATTGCTTCACATTGGTATAAATGCCGACTGACCTGACACACTGATGGATTGTTTTAGAATCACAACTGGCTGATTTGACATTGGCACAATGTCCGTTGACATTTTGAAGGTTACTAAAGGTCAAGGTAAGGTCAGTGACCTCGGTTGACCTGTAATGACTGTTTGCACTTGTATGCCTTTTCGGGGTATTTTGATGCCCTGAATTCGAATTTGCTATCCATTTCAGGCATCGTCGGTTGTTTCTTGTAGTTCATTTTGGGTCAGGGTCAGGTCAGTGACGTCACACGCCTGACGTGACCCAATGCACAAATGGCCTTGCAGACTTCCGATGCTCCCAACGCATCATTTTTAGAGTTATGACATCGAAATATACACCAAACGATAGAGAATTGATCAAGGATCACGATAGTGAAGGTTTCAAGTCGATATCTCTTACCGTTTTGCCGCAATCGGCGCGGAAATCTGAAAAAGTTAGATTTTTCCGAAAATTTGACCTTTGACCGGTCATAAGTAGGTCAAATGTTGACTTAGGACCAAAAATATACCGCCAATCGCGAGATCTCGTTGAGAGCAATCCGTTGGTCTTTTCCGCTAAGCTCTACGACGCTCTGTTTTCAAACGCCAGGGGGGTCGCACCAACCCCCCCCCCCCCCCTGCATGGGCGAAGGTGGCAAAACACCGTTTACGGGCGAGGGTTAAATTATCTACCGAGCATGAACACTTCCTCTGTTTCGTTAGCACGCGTGCCATATTTTCCCGATGACAAAATGCAGACCGGGCGCCACTCAGCCGCCTGACTCGTCTCCCGCTCTCTCTGTCCCGCAGCTCTGCCGCGGTCCCGTGAAACGTTCAGCGTGTCCCACGGCTCTGGCTACAGTCAAATCCACGGCACCGGTGGCCCTGCCCGAGTCGGAACGTACACTGTGCTGACTGCCGTCGGCTCAGCACCGGACACGACCTTTTCGACCGGCACCGGCGTCTCCCCCGGTCCGGCCCCCAACAAACGGGGTGGTAAGGACGGAGCAGCAGAGAAGAGTGATACCGAGCGGACCCAGGGGATTCACGAAAATGCAGAGAGTCGGCTGGAAAAGGCGAGCTCGTCGACAGCGAGCAGCCGAGGTTTCTCGGTGGCGAGAACGGCCAGCGCTGAGGAGCGGTATTCGCGGGGCGGGCGGTCAACAGAGGGCAGTACAGGTTTGCATCATGCGAAGAAGTCGGTGAATGGAACTCAAAGCGAGACATTGAAGGAAGCTTCGAAGGCCACGGAGCGGAGTCGAGCTTCACAGGACTCTCAGGACGCGAGCGTGACTCTGGTGAACGCCAGTCGTCCGTCGCAGGACTCGCGTGACATGACTCTGACTCCCGAGCGGAGTCGGGCCGGCAGCTGTGATACGGCCACGCCGACCACGGTCCGTCCGCGGCCGCCGCCGAGACATAGCGCCGCCCTGGGTGACAGCCTGCGCCGCAAGATAGTGGACGTGCTGAACCGTACGGAGGAGGCGCGGCTGCAGCTGCTGATGCCCGGTCGGAGGACACCGGACGGTGTGGTGCAGGCGACGGAGGCGGCAGCGGCGGCGGTGACTGTCAGCCAGCAGCTCACCGTCACTGAGATGATATCGCTATCCGAGCAGCCGCTAGATGACTCTGAGGACGGACAGACTGCGGATGCGCAGCCGTCCCCCGCAGGCCGCGACACGTCCGCGCCGCTCTCAGAAGACCTCAGCGCGTTCGGGAGCTGGCCGGACGGCGGTGAGTGGCCCCAGGCGTACTCGCAGGCGCGCAGCGACGAGCTGAAGCGGAGACAAGAGAAGGAGATGGCCGAGCACAAACAGCGGCAGGAGGAGCGCATTCAGACGGCCCGCGCTCAGCAGGCGGCGCTGCGAAAACAGTGGGAGATGGAACAGGAGCTGAAGGAGAAAGTAGCGCGACAGAGGAAGCTTCAAAAGAAACGCGATGCCAAGGCGAGACGCGATAGCGCCGCGTCGACGCTAGACCGGTCCCACGACACATTGAGTGTGACGGTGCACCATGACGTCCCTTCGTCGCCAAAGCCGAAGCAGTCTTCACCGAGGCGTACGGCAACTCCACGGCGTCCTGTATCGCCGCGGCGGTCGTTTTCAAAGCCAAAACAGCAACAACAGACTCCGGAGAAAAAAGGACAGCAGCCGCCACCAGAACAGAAGCAGCAGGCACACCAGCCGAAGCAGTCACAGCGTCCGTCACAGTTGGCTGCCGACAAGCCAGCTCCAGAGGATATACCCTCCGACCCACCGTCTGCCGCTCCGACAATACCGACTCCGGCTGTGGCACCGCCGCCACCTCCTACTAGTGCACCTTCCCCGGCGCCTACAGCGGGAGCCGTGGACCCGGAGAGGGTGTCACGTATTCTCCAGGAACTGAATGCAGCCACGGCGTCCGCTCATACCCCGGCTCTCAGCATGCAGCAGGTGGTGGAGGCGGTGATGCGGCAGCTAGCCATGCCAGACATGTCTCTGGACGAGTCGTGCCGCAGCCGTACCGAACTAAACGTCACGGACATCCTGCAGGAGCTGCGTGGCGAGAGTGAGGAGCTGAGCAACCAGATGGCCCGTGCTGTGCCTCCAACTGGCTCCAGCGCTCCGGCAGAGACGCAGACCGCCATCAGTGGCACAGGCGGCGGGCCGGGGGACGACGCTGGCGGCGCTGCTACTGGCAGCGGCAAGACCGGTCCCAAAGAGGCGACGCGTTTGGCCGAGTCAGTGTCGCGCCTGCACCGCGGCGTGCCGGCGCGTCCGCGCGGAGAACAGCCGCGACGCCGCTCGCCGGTCAAACGATCGGCATCCATACCGGTACAGCCGGCCGGACCCAAACGCGGCACTGAGGGTGGTTTCCGTGGAGCGGCGGCCCGGCGCCGACCGGTCTCCACTTACGCTACTGATCGGGGACCGGAAGATGCTTCCCGACAGCGTCCCAACTCTGCCCAGTCGGATCTGGCGGTGAGAGGGCGGAGGGTGCCGCGCATGGGCATCCGTCGCCAAGTGGATGAGCTCACCACGGACGACAGTGATCGCGCCGTCACAGCCAGGAGCGTGCGAGGCTCGCCCGGGAAGCCAGGAAAGAAGGCGCCGACCCGCCAGTCGGCCGCCGCTGCCATCGCCGCCACGGCCGCGGCCGCTGCCCGGGCGGCGGCCGTCTCAACGTGTCCCGACTCTGCCAGTTCTGACGGGTCGGCCAGGACGTACTCGATCGCGTCCGACCGCGCTCCCGGCTCCCTCCCGGCAGCGGTAACTGAGGAGGCTCCGGAGTCGGAGCCGGAGCGGCCGGAGCCTGCCGCCGCTACCGCCCCCGCCCCCGCCCCCGCCCACAGTGCGCCGGTCTCCGCCGCCGCCGGCGCCGCGCTGCCCGCCACCACCAGCTCGGCACTGGCCGACATCGGGATGGACTACGACTCTCCAGAGTTTCTTGTGGCTCTGGCGGCGCGGCGCTATCCGAGCTCGACACCGTCGCTGGCCCGCTCAGTGGCTGCGTTTGTGGCGAGTGAGTCCCTGGATCACGTATCTCCTATTGTACCGGCTGATGCAGACACCAGTGAACCAAGCAAAGAGGCGGACAGCGCGCGGGGTGAAGGAATTAATGATGATGATTCAGGGGCAGAGACGGGTACGGAGGCTCGCTCAGAGGTCTGTGGGGATGTCGGAAAATCAGCAGCGGTGACAGCTAGTGGTACAGCTACGGCTACGGCACCAGCGGGGACCGCAGGACAGGAGACCCATGTGGAGGTGCTGGTGCCACCGCCGGCTGTCTGGCCTGAGGAGAGCGCCTTGGAGATGCGTCCTACGACGGGTACGTCGAGCGGCTCTATGGCGACTACAGCGGCCAGCGCGGCGGCTCGGCCCTCTCTGTCGAGCGCCGCCCCGCTGCAGACTCAGCCGGAGGAGCAGCCGCGAGCGGTGGCGGTGACCGGCTCCACGTCAGCAGAGGTGACCGGCGCCGCCGCGCGACCCCGCCGCAGTCGGATCCCGACTCCTGTGCGGCGACACGTAAGCGATATGGTGGCGGCCACCTGCCAGAGCGCCCCGTGTCTCCTACAAAGTGAGGCGGCCATGCCCCCGCCCCCGCCTCCACCCCCGCCCGCGCTGCCGTCGGCGGTGCCCGCGGCGGCGGCGGGTCGGCGGCCGGCCGCTGCGCTCAGCGGCGGTGACCGACAGACCGGACCACGCCCGGCGCTTCGTGCCTGCAACAGCGTGGGCTCGACGCGCGACTCTGGGGCGCAGACCGGCCTGTCGGCGACCTCCGCCAGCCAGCGACACAACCGACTGGTGCGCTCGGCCAGCGCCCAGGCGCGGCCCGGCGAGCCGCCCGCCGGGAGTACGGTGACTAGTGAACAGATTCAGACCGAACGCGGACAGAGAGGATCCAAGGCGTCCGTGGTGACAGCGGCGGCGGCCCGATCGGCTCAGATTCAGACGAGCACGGCTGCGGTGGCGCCGGCTCAGAAGAAGCCCGAGAATGATAAACCGGGGAAGGAGAACACCGCCCCGCGAAAACGAACGTCCTCTGTGAGTACCGGAGTGCAAACTGCCGACCTGACGTTCACGAAGCCCTCCAAAGAGAAGCTCCCACCAGAACCTACGAAAGAATCAGATGCTGTTCCATCGGATCATGCCAAGATAATCTCTGAGCTACCGGCTCTGGCCACTGCCGAGGTACAGACAGAGACTGATCAATCTTGGGTGGAGCTATCCGCCAAGCAACGAGACGGCTCGCGCATAGCGGAGCGGCCTATGGTCACTCAGCACGGAGACGCGACGCGCGATCAGCCAGCACAGGCGAACAACCGAACTCAACTCACCAATGGAGTCAGTGTAGCGATCGCGGAGACTGCACAACACGCCCCGCCGCCGGCGCCGATTCAGCGAGCGGAGAGGGAGACCGAACAGACTGTCCATCCTCTGTCGGTTGGCCCGGCAGAAGACACGCCGGCGACAGAAACCAGCTCTGACGGTGACGAGCTAGTGATGGCCCCCACCGAGGTTTCCCACCCTGAGATTCTGTGCACGGACATACGCTCGGAGCTGTGTGTGCCGGTGGTGAACCGCACTGCACACTGGGTGCAGCTGATACCCAGTGTGTCCAGCGTGGAGCTGAACGACAGCCTGCTGCCAGCGGAGAAGGTCTCCGATCCGCTCACAGTCAGCCTTCGGACGCGCACCCTACTGGATGGCCACCAGGAGGGCGCCGTGCATGTTACCCTGATCCCCCGCGTGGCCGGGCGAATCACTGTCTACCTCACCCTGTGTGTGGAATCCATTGAGCGGCGGACGAGCGGCCCGGCCGGCCGGCACACCTGTCGGGTGCGGCTGCGGATGGTGTCCGAACGCCCAGCCGTCGAGCTGCTGCTGCAGGAGCCCGGGCTGCTGGACTTTGGCACGCTGCCCGAGAACTGCAGGAAGGTGGTGCCGCTGACTCTGGTCAACCTGAGCCGCGCGCCCGTGCCGGTCACACTGTCGGTGAGTGGCAGAGATTGAGGGCACGCTAGTAGTTGTAGCACAGCACTCTGCTGTGAGGCGTAATCACTGATTTAGTATTGAAAGCCGTGCCATATGTGAGGTGTCTAATTGTCTTTTGTTCAGAAACATGACTCAGCAGGATTATTGCTTATGTACTGCAGCCGATTAAAGTGTCTCTTTGCTCGTAATCATCACATCTACCGCGCTTCATCTCATGGTTCTAACGTCTGGCTGTCGTTGCTGCAGGTGATGTCGGCGGGCCGGGTGTTCCACCTTCCGGACGGAGAGCTGACGGAGACCCCAGTCCTGCCGGCTGCGGCCGCCCCCACCCGTCTAACGTCTACCCTGGCCCAGTTCACACTGCCGCCCGTGGACCCCAGCTCACAGGGCATCTCACCGGTCACACTGAGCGTGGCGCTTCTCACACCGGCACTGGACGGCGAGCAGGGTGAGTGAGTGAGAGAGAGAGAGTGAGAGAGAGAGTGAGAGAGAGAGAGTGAGAGAGAGAGTGAGAGAGAGTGAGAGAGAGAGTGAGAGAGAGAGAGTGAGAGAGAGAGTGAGAGAGAGAGTGAGAGAGAGAGTGAGAGAGAGAGTGAGAGAGAGAGTGAGAGAGAGAGTGAGAGAGAGAGTGAGAGAGAGAGAGTGAGAGAGAGAGAGTTAGAGAGAGAGTGAGAGAGAGTGAGAGAGAGAGAGAGTGAGAGAGAGAGTGAGAGAGTGAGAGAGAGAGTGAGAGAGAGAGAGTGAGAGAGAGAGTGAGAGAGAGAGAGTGAGAGAGAGAGTGAGAGAGAGAGAGTGAGAGAGAGAGAGAGTGAGAGAGAGAGTGAGAGAGAGAGTGAGAGAGAGAGAGAGAGAGTGAGAGAGAGAGAGAGAGAGAGAGAGAGAGAGAGAGAGAGAGAGAGAGAGAGAGAGAGAGAGAGAGAGAGAGATTCGTAAAAAAGGATGGTTACTAGCGTATTCATTCGCTGAAAAAAATGGCAAATCATTGTGAAAACATTGCAAACTATATCGGAGCTGTGTAATGCGCAATCCGTTAACTATGGTTATGAGAAGTCTCCGGATCAAAGCCGACTTCTAGTAGCCTTTTTTATTCTGCTCATACCCAGGGGATGGCAGTAACTCGGGAGTATTCGCCCGCCAAGCCGACCGGATCCCGGACCGCAGATACACGGGCTTGATCCGTCGGCTTTTGCTTCATAGCGGATAACTGTACATGTAAAACAAATCGTAGGACGAAATTTACCTGTGCATTCTCCCTCGCTGAATGTGGCGTCCAAAGCGTCATCGTAGCCCGTGTTGTCCAGTCCATTTTCGGAGACGGCTTCTTCAAAGCTGAGCATGCCTGCTGACAAAATAAACATTTAACAGCCAAGTAAGCGTAAATATATTAGCCTCCCAAATGACAAGCATTTAGCATGAGAGAGAGAGAGTTAGAGAGAGAGTGAGAGAGAGTGAGAGAGAGAGAGAGTGAGAGAGAGAGTGAGAGAGAGAGTGAGAGAGTGAGAGAGGGAGTGAGAGAGAGAGAGAGAGAGAGAGAGAGAGAGAGAGAGAGAGAGAGAGAGAGAGAGAGAGAGAGAGAGAGAGAGAGAGAGAGAGAGAGAGAGAGAGAGAGAGAGAGAGAGAGAGAGAGAGAGAGAGAGAGAGAGAGAGAGAGAGAGAGAGAGAGAGAGAGAGAGAGAGAGAGAGAGAGAGAGAGAGAGAGAGAGAGAGAGAGAGAGAGAGAGAGAGAGAGAGAGAGAGAGAGAGAGAGAGAGAGAGAGAGAGAGAGAGAGAGAGAGAGAGAGAGAGAGAGAGAGAGAGAGAGAGAGAGCTGAGCGTGTCTAACGCGGCGGGAGGTCGTGTAATTTGGTTTTGTTGGGATGAGTCCAGGGAATTCGTCATAGCGTTTGTTCAATAGGCGGATGCTACTGCAGAAATCTGTCAGAGTCAAAGTACTGGTTACCGAGAATGTAAACTTCAGTTGACATCGGTTAGTGAATTGCATCTGTAATTGTGAGGAGCCGCTGGATAATCGGCATTGAACACCCAGCCCCTTCCCGACTGTCTAGTGAGGGTGTCCATTGGATCGTCACTGTGTGTGCGCCGAATATCTGTCCAGCACGCTCTGTATCCGTCCGTATTTCCACTTCGCGGGTGTACGCGCCGTGTCGTTCCGGTTATCTACTCCGTACCATTAGCTGACCGCCGCTTTGACCGCGCAAAAGACAGAATGCAAAGGCACTCTGTCTTTTGCGCTGTGTCCGTTTCTGATCCCCTTTCCCTCCGTCCGCTGGCAGACTTTCCGCCCCTGACCCCCCCCCCCCCCTCCGTTAGCAGAGTGTCCGCTGCCAGAGTTGATGCACGGCTCTCTGGAGGTGGAACTGGACGGCGCCGTGCCGCCCACCTCCGAGCCACTGCTGCGCTGCCGCCTCCTGGCTACCGTCGGAAGGGTAAAGCTGCGCACACGCGTCAAGGAGCCGCTGGAGCTGCGCTGTCGGCCGGCCCAGACTGCCTCCGTCAACCTGCCCATGAAGAACGCAGGTGCGTAGCTGGGGCGATTGCCGAAAGGGGGGGGTGGGCTGAAATAGAGGCATGGGTGTATGAGATAAAACAAGAACAGAGATGGGGAGGGGTTGCTGTATTTTCAGCTGGACGGATTGTCGTATCGTTAGATTGCTTAGTTCTGTGTGAGCTGGCGGGGACGGATGGAAAGGTGTATCTGCCCCCGTAAATCTGTGCCATGCCGCTTAGGGTGTGTCGACCGACCAAAACGAAGAGGTGTCTGTGGGGGTTTGCGCCTCTATCTCGCCGACCAATCAGCGAGCGTGACCTTTGGGCGACCTCGCAGTACCCCGGCCCCGGCTGGCCCTCGACGGCCGGCCAGTCTCGCGCTGACCGCGCTTACGAGAGGTGTGCTCTGTACCGTGTGCGTATGAGAATATAAGATTGACACCGAGATCGCCTCTACTGCGGAGCCGGGACCCGAACAGTGTCCTTATCCTTTTTCCACCTTACTCTATTTTGTGTCGTACCGCCAGATAGCTGTGACGACTCACTTCATCCCTCCCCTCACCCTCTGTAACTTCCCCTCACCTCTTCCCGTGTCCCCAGGTAACATCCCGCTCGAGCTGCGTCTGTCGGTGACCGGCCTGCGCGACTCGGTGTGGGTGCGGCCAGACCACGTCACCGTGCCACCGCGCGGCGAGCGGGACGTGATGCTGACGTTCCAGCCGCGCGACCGACACAGCGGCGGCCGCGGCCAGCTGCTGCTCACCGTGCAGCCCGACGGAACCGTCTACGAGGTGGACATTGTCGGTAAGACGGCGGGGAGAACCATTAACAAGGACGACGGTGAAAACAGGGCGCCTGGGGCGATTTGATCAAGGTTCGTGATATTCACACGTGACGTTTACCATGTAGAAGGCAGACGGAGGGGGAGAAGTTCCAAATGTCACGTGACTAATTATATGCCCTCCGGCGCCCTGTTTTCACCGGCGTCCATTAACAAGGTGGTTCTGACTGCATGGGTTGGGTATTTGTCTTGGGTGCGCTGATTGGGGTGTCGTTGGAAAGGCCGATTCCATGGGTATCAGAGGTGGGTGACTTTGACTTAGACTTATTTCGTCGACTCCATCTAGTAGCTGATGAAGGATCATTTCTGATCGTCTTTCAATTATGTTGGCTGTCTGGGTGAGATTTCATATCTTTTTTCCCCGACCTTCGATTTCTGAAAAGATCTGCGGACGTTTTATAGTACGCTTGATGTAAATATTGCAGTAATCTGGACTGAAGTGGAGGCATGTCCTAGCGAATGTTATTATTGAGCGGTTGATCATATTCTGCCTGACTAACGCCGGTTGCGAGTTGCGACCTCCATGATCACGTCGGAAAGCTACAGAACCTCAGTCTATAGTCGCTGAAAGCTAGAAAAAATAGCAACATTTCCTTCTACACATGTCGGTGCGAGTCTCTCGTTTGACTGACCATCCTGGTCTCTTCTTCCCTCTAGGCGTGATCGGCGACTCTCGAACCGTGGACCGCCTGAGACCGAGCTCGCCGGAGATGAAGTCGGCCCGCCGACACTCGAAGACCAGGAAGCGGCGCTCCCCGTCCTGTTCACGGTCCGCCAGCAGGTCAAAGAGCAGGTGAGGAGGTCACCGAGGGGTTACAAGACGGGTGCGAGGTCAGAAAAGGTCGCAGAGTAGGTGAATGAGATGGTGCTTGACTGTTTTACTCGTGTCTGAGCGAATCGTATTGATATTGGTGGTTAATCGCCCGCGAATGCGATATTGGCTAAACGGCATCTTGGCTGAAAAAGCGCTTGTGAGTTGTGTACTTATGCTGCCGCTGAGTCCTCATGCGGTCAGTGACTCCCGTATAACTGTGTGCGTGTGTCACAACGGGAACCCCATCTTATAGCCGGAGTGGGTGGCGTTTTGAGTGTGTAGCGTCAAAGTCAAAGTATAACAACATGAATCGCAAAACGTATCGCGAAGTTTAGCTGACGATGTTTTGCGCGCTCTTGTCCGAACAGATCAGCCAGTCCGCGGCCTCCGCTGGCCAGCGGCAGGGGCGGCGGCAGGGACGGCCACTGGACTGAGGTGCGGGACACCAGCGTGCAGACCAGTGTGCTGGCCCTGGCACCGGCCGGAGACGGGCCCGCCGCCGCCGCCCCCGCCCCCGCCCAGCCGGCGCTCCGACAGCCGGCCGAGCCGCCGCCGCAGCCGCCGTGAGTGCTGATGGAGTGTAATCGCCCTGTGGTGGGCGTCCCAATGCTAAGCCTCATGTGGTGATCGGTTGTGTTGTTCAACGGGAAAGCAATTCTTAACAATGAGCCCTACGTCTTGGAACGATGAAAGCGTGTTAGAATTTACGATGATCGTAGCAAATATTTATGTGTTTCTACTTTCTTATAACATATCTGGCCGGATGTTTCATTTTACCGTGTAAGAAAAACATTGTACGACTATGAGCTGTCTAGTCTATCCCAGGTCTATCCCTAAGTCCGTCTACTTGACCCCATCATATTCTCACCACTCCTTCACTGTGCTCCCCGGCAGGAAGTCGCACCGAGTGGCGGCGCCGGCGCTCCACAGTAACAAGCGGCTCCTGCTGTGGACCGGTGTGCGCCGGGGCCGGCCCGCCGCCCGCACCCTGGTCCTGAGGAACAGCTCAGAGACGGACGGCTTGTCGCTGCGACTAGCCATCGTCAACGGGCCGCAGTTCACGGTGAGAGGGCGCCGCGGCCTCAGTCGGTTGGATGGTATCGGGTGACAGACTCAGGGTGGGCTCGGGTGACGGGTTTTACAGTAATAAGTTCACGTACAAGGAGAAGCTGCCTGTTGATTTGTCGGCCGCCGAGGAGATAGAGTGCAATTTCAGTAGTTTTGAAACTGGAGCAATATCGTCATTAAAGCATTTGTAAAATGAGTCAATATGAACTCTTTTAGACAATGCGAGTGCTCTTGCTCTTGACAATGCTCTTGACCGCCTGTAGCCACAGTCTTTGTCCACGACCACAGCTTACCTAATTCTCCTGCATAGAACCATGCTCCCTTTCTCCCTGTCTAACCCTCCCCGCGGTATCCGCTCGCTCCAGTTCCGCATGTTTGACGAGGAGGACGGCGGTGGCGGCGGCGGCGGCGGTACCACTACCGAGCTGCACCTACCGGCACGCTCCGGGCGCGAGGTCACCCTGGTCTACCAGCCCAACAAGGTCGAGGTGACGGCCGCTGCGCTGGTCATCAAGCCCGTGGTGCGGCAGCGCGGCGCCGTCGGCAGCAAATTCACAGTGAGTGACGAGATAGAATGGTGATCTAACGGTAATATTTTGGAAGGGGTGGTCGGTAGTCGGTACCTACATTGGACTGTAGCTGTTTGTTTGTTTGTTTGTTTGTTTGTTTGTTTGTTTGTTAGCTGTAGTTGTCAGTTCTTCGAGCTCGCTGCTATGTAGCCGCACGTGCTACTCGAATTTTCATCGACCCGTGCCGTCATTTCCATCCCTAGGACATTAAAACCCTTCTCCACGCTGCAATGCCTGATCCGGACCGGGCAGAAACTTAATCCCATGCGGGCGGCTCCCATTGGAGCGCACCGCAGCTCCTAAGGGAGCATACCCGTAGCCGGGTGCAGAGAGTGCTTGGGGGGGGGGGGGGGCTGGTCGGCCTGTCCATTTGGACGGGCTCAGCCCCGGTGACTCTCTAGGGTGCCTGCCCAGACCAATGTCTCCCCCTAATTCCTGTCATCCTCCCGGCTCTACAATGGTCTAAATGGACCGGAAGGGCCTAACCCAACGAAACAAACAAACAAAATCGAATTTTTATTATTTATTTTTGTGAGGCCATCCTCGGACTTTTATTTTTCATCTTTAGCGTTTCCTGCGCTCCGTCATGACTTTCCTTCGTCGTTCTCCGCAATCAACACAGAAAGATGGAGCTCTTATTCAGCTCCTCCAGTTATACATACCCGCGACGAGTCCTCTGCCGACCTCTGGCCTCTACTGACTTTCCTCTTACCTTCCCCGCGCCCCAGATCCCGCTAGTGGCCTACAGCGGCGCCTCGGACGTCCAGCTGAGCGTCTCACTGGAGAAGGGCCTCCAGCTGGGTGAGCTGTCGCCGGGAGCGACCGTGCGCGCGCCGCTCACCCTGACCAACGTGGGCGACCGACGGGCCTTCGTCACCGTTCTGGCGTATAGAGGTGAGAGAGGAGCGACCGTGAGAGGCGTGAGCAAGTGAGCGAGGTGAGAGGCTAGAGAGTTGGGAAGTGAGTGCAGTGGGAGGGAAGCACTGATCATTGTGGGTGGTGAGGGGACAGGAAGGTTAGGACGATATATGCGAGGTAGGAGATAAAGATAGACGTGGTGCGGAAGCGAGTGAGATGAGAGAAAAGCTCTGAGCGTATGGACAGAATGAGAGTGCTGCCAGCGGATTTTATCCTTGGAACTGTTGTTTCCGAACACATCTGTGTCCCCGTCTACCTGTCTACCGCAGCTGACTTCTCTCGCTCCCGGTCTCTCACGCACCCCGGCCTCCCGGCAGACTCGGAGTGCCAGCACCCGGCAACCTCGTCCGAGTTCAGCGCCACTCCGGCTCGCGTCTCCCTGTCGCCCGGCGAGGTGCGTCAGGTGGCGCTGGTGTTGCGCGTGCTGGCCGACCAGCCGCCGCCGGCCACGCTGCGGGTGCTCAGCGGTGACGAGCTGCTTCGACAGGCCATCGGACAGTGAGTACCGACTGGGTAGAGGGGGATGGATTGGACGACTGCTCCGGCAGTGACTGCCGACAGAGTACCGACATGGTAGGGGGAGGGGGTGCTTGTGGATCGGGTGGCTTCTGTCCGTTTCTAGTACTGGCGGCAGACTAGGGGCGGCCTGGCGCGCTGGCTAAGCTGTGTGGCATCCTGACGTAAGGCATTGGTCTTGGAAGTGCGATGCGATGGCGGTATCAGCTCAGACCGTCTGTGTGATAAGTATCACATTACTGGCGTGTGGCCGGATGTGTTTCGTTCAGTGAAAGAATATAAAACGATTTTCATACCGCTTACCTAATTAAGCGTTTCGTTAATTCGTAATCGCATTTTGTCGATACCCGCAAACAAATAACAACTGACCCGTTGATTCGGTCTCCCGTTGACCTCTCCCCGTCCCTCAGACTGTCGAGCGACCAGCCGCTGTCGTCCCGCCTGCCGTCGCCCGATGGCAGACTTTACCATCCCCCCCCCCCCTCCTCGTCAGGCTGTCTAGCGACCAACCGCTGTCGTCCCGCCTGCCGTCGCCCGGTCTGATGGCTGTGGATTTCACCAGCCCATTCGAGGGAGAGCAGGAGCCGGCGCCGCTGGAGATGGAGGCGCTGAGGAAGCTGCCCAGTGTGGCAGACACGTTCTTCAGCTGTATGAGGCAGACCCGGCTGCCCATCAGAGGTGAGTCGGGCGGAGACAGTTCACCCAGTGCTCAAACAGTCTCACTCAGTCTACAGTCTACACTTTTGGTATCTATAATTAATGCCATTTCGACTTTGCCTGATCTGATGTGATTTTGTATAATCTATAGTCTTACCAGATCTATGATTTAATCTGGCCTAACCTGTTTCTACGGACAAGCTTTGACCCGACATTTTCTGTCATCACCTAGTCTCTTGACCTCTGACCGTGCCACTCACACCTTCCGACCTCTGAACTGACCTCCATACTGTCCCGACCTCTGCGCTGCCCTGACCTCTGCGCTGCCCTGACCTCTGCGCTGCCCTGACCTCTGCGCTGCCCTGACCTCTGCGCTGCCCTGACCTCTGCGCTGCCCTGACCTCTGTGCTATCCTGAGCTGACCTCTGCCCTCTGTTCCAGCCACGCTGAGCTCTCGCGCGGCTCCGATCGACTGCTCGGATGTGTTCACCGTCCTACACGCTGACGATACGATGGCCAGCATTTTGAACAACACCTCCTTCGCCAACGTCACACGGTGGGTGGACGGGAGGGGACTGCGCTTCTCCGCTGGGGCTGGAACGATAGATGCGCGATTCATGCACGCTATGATGTGTGCAGGTTTTTTTTTGGAAAGTGCTGCCGTAATTTTTTATTGCCGTTTTATGGAATGTGTATTGAAAGGAATAACTGGCGATGAAATGAAGTACGAGACCCGCTCAAGGGACAGTGTGTCAAACTAATGATTTGTGAACGTTTTGTGGTGTAACGGTGACGTTTTTCCTGTAATCAGATATGCCTAATGTTTTTAATTTGATCGCTGTAGCCGATTTGCTCGCCTCTGCACACTGGCATGTTCATCCGAGTGTTGTGAACATAGCCCTTTGTGATAAGAGTTGGCACCTGTAGCTCGTACTCTCACGTCCGGTTCTCTATTCAAACCGTGCTTCGAGCGGCGCCCTGTACCTCAGTGTCTGTCTGTGCCCTCAGGGAGACCCGCCGGCCGGTGCCTACCTCAGTGGCCACGGCTGTCACCCGGGCTGCCCCGGCCCAGCGTTCCTGTCACACGGAGCCGTCACATGCCGCGGCTCAGAACCACCTGAACACGGTGAGAACAGTGGAACGGATCATGGACTTTCAAATGAACACCGGGAGTTTGATTGGGTCTCTGTGTGTGGGATGCCGTGGGAGGAAGTAATACGTAATCTGTTCCGATTGTGTCGACATAATGCCGATAAGTCACTGCCGGGCTGTGTGGAGGCCATGGAATTCAGCAAATCATCTCCCATTTGTGTCAGTGCAGTGTCTGACGTCCTATTGTGCCCTCCCGGTGTCCGTGTATCTGCTGACCGACTGACTGACCGCTCTCCGCTCCCGCACAGAGCCAGCGACCTGTACGTCTGCCCGCTCCGGCGCTGCGCGGCCCTCCCGTCTCGGAGGTCTCGGTCGAGTCGGGTCCGGTGGGCGCCGAGCAGCTGGCGCCTCCGCCACCCATCCTGTCGCCCCCGTGCGGCGGAGTGGCCGGCCGGCCGGCGCCGCTGCAGCTCGCCTCCGACCAGGTGACGTTCCCGACCACTGCTGTGGGACAGCGCTCGGCGGCCTCGCTCGGGTTCACCAACTCGAGCGGTGTGGGACTGCGCTGGACGCTGGAGGCACTCGTCAAACCCTGGATTCAGGTTAGTGGCCAGGAACAACTGGCACCACTTTGCGCTCTGGGAGTCTGTTTTTGGCCTGGCAGGACGCCAACTTTGTATAACCAGCTGCTTTTGACTGATTCTGTCGACTTAAGTATTTCATTATTTATCCGTGGGACCTATAACATATGACATACAAGCAAACCGTTTGCAGCACTCTTATGTAAACGCCAAGCATAATCATCATCATTCAGTTATTTGTGTAGTGATTTGACCGACCGCGCCCAGCCGTTATGTGATCCGACCTGACCCGCTGACCTGACCTACGGAGCTCTCCGTGCGCCTGTGACCTGACTCTCTGACCTGAGTCGCAGAGCACGCCCTTTGCCTGTGACCTGATCTGCTGGCCTGACCCTGTAACCTGTCCCACAGAGCACTCCGCGCGCCTGTGACCTGACTCAGGTGGGCGGCGACGTGTTCCGCTTCCACCCGACACAGGGCGACGCGCGGCCCGGTCAAACCGTGTCACTGGCGGCCCGGTTCAGCCCGCCGGCGGCCGGCTACTTCACACAGACCTTCTACCTGGTGACCTCGGCCGACACTGCGCCGGTGTGAGTGCTGCGTGCCTACAACGAGGGAGTCGGGAGGACTATCATGGGGACTGGGGAGCGAGGAGGATTGTGGGGAGCCAGGGTACAGGGTACGGGTTTCACCACAGGGTACGGTCGACCTCGGCCAACACGGCGCCTCTGTGAGTACCGTGAGCCGGCCGAGGACTGGTAATGGCGAGCGGGCCCGGTTAGGGACAGGATACGGTCGACCTCGGCCGATACGGCGCCGCTGTGAGTGCTGGGTGCCGGTTCCGGTCAGAGCAAGGGCGGCCTGTTTGGAGCTAGGGTTACAGGTGGCATTCAGTCAGTCTCACGCGTGTTAGGTGCGTCGAGTTGTCAGTTGTCTCACCACGTTCAGTTGCCTTACACGCTTTTGGCTACTTTATTTGGCCAATCCTTTATTTTGTCGTAATATGTGGGTGTTTTTATTTCCAATGTCATATTTTAGTGTCTCTTATCATGCGTGCCCTTATTCCGGTCCTGCCTGGTTTGTTGTTTGTCATACTAGTCGCTGTCTCTATTCAGATAACACCTGGAGTGCACTCTAGTAGCTCTCTCTCCCGCGGCTGAACTAGTCACCCCTACCCATCTACCCCACCTCCAGAGACAGCAACCAGGCGGTGCAGCCGTCCTGCCTCCTGGTGCGTGTGGCCGGCCAGGCCATCTCGCCAGCGGCGGCGGCCGAGCCCGAGAAGTTCCCTCTGAGTGTCGAGCCCGACACGATCGAGTTTCCGCCCAACGAGCGAGCCGTCAAGCTGGCCATCAGCAACCGGACGCGGCTCGACTACGAGGTATGGACGCACCAGTGGCAATAAGCTCGATTATTACGAGCGAGCGGAGCGAGCGAGTTCATACTGAATTAAGGGAAAATCCTGAGTATGAGCGGCCGGCCGGCCGGCCGGCCGTGGGGACGCTCTTCAAAAGCTAATATCTTAGGAACGGGACATCCGATTGACAAGCGGTCTTCTTTACTGAATGTCACTTGGACGTAAAAGTTCTGTGGTGTGATGGCCACCATGCGTTCTTGCCAACCACCGCACGTGGCGCGTGGTAAAGTTGGACATTTTTTAAGAACCCCCAAAATTGCAACCTCAATAACGGCACAACGACTGGGCCGATTGGGCTCAAATTTGGTACACGGTTGGGGACCAGTTAGTAGGGTGCCGTGCAAAAGTCAGTTTGGACCCCACTTGCACGTGCGCACGTGCAGAATGCCGCTTCCAGATCTCAGGAACGGCTGGGCCGATTGCGTTCAAATTTGATACACCGCTAGCGACCGGGTGCTTTGTACAAGCCCGTTGGAAGTACCCTCTCGCCCTTCCGCACGTGCAGGGCTCACTATCTCGCTCGCTCGTTCTTCGCCCAAAAGGCGTTTTACTGGTTTGGATCTGGATGCATGATTCTTTGACCGTAAATCCAGCCTTGCATCTACCGGTAATTTCAAAAATAGAACGCAGACTAGGCCGGATTAAATCTGGCGGTTGAGGGCTGTGTTCTTGGGACATGCTAGAACATTATAGCAGGGAAGCTTGATTGATAATTGACTGCCATCGACGTATATATCTGCTGATGTGCTGAGCTCTGAAGTATGTTCACCTCTGGCCGCTTGGCCGCGTCTGACCGCTGAGTTGTACCAAGCTATGACATGCCGCCCGCTGACACCCTCCTCTCCTCCCTCAGCTGGACCTACACGTGTCGGGACCGTTCTCCGTCAACCACGAGCGGATGTTGTCGCGCGCGCGGCGCTACATCCACCTGCCGGTGTTCTTCCAGCCGCCGGGAACTGGCGTGTTCACCGGCCGGCTGACCCTCAGTCTGACACAGCCGTCTGGTACGGCACCGCGCTGCTTCCATGTCACGCTGCTGGGAGAGGTTCCCTGAGAACGGCCGCCGCCGGCCGCAGAGGAGGGGTTCTGTGATAGAGCGGCGTGTGCTGGTGTGCTGGACGCAGCGGGTCGTGGTGGGGAGGTGACGTGATCGTGGCAGTGTGACGTTAGCGGCCATGGCCGTATGATGTCGCGTCAGCGGGCATAGCCGCATGATGTCGCATCAATTGGGATAGTCGCCAGCCATGTCTTCCCCTCACCACTGGTGATAAGGAGCATTTAAGTCCAGTGTTGTCGGACTCGCTATGCCGTCCATATGATTCTTCTCGCGGGTTGGAGCCAGCTTCAACGTCGCTGTCCAAGACTGTCATTAGCTGGTGGCACCGTGGGCCAGCCGCAGGATAGTCGATAAACGGAGGACATAAGTCACCGAGACTGTGACTCCCTCCGAGGTGTCCACCCCGGGCTGTGTCGCCCTCTGGTTGTTGAGATTGCGGAGGTCCGGACCGTGCGGGCTCCGGCGGCTACTGCAGATCTGTGAAGTCAGGGATGGACGTAACACTAGGGACCAAGCGATGAGACTTTCACAAGCTGTGAACCGATTACTTATAATAGCACTGCCGCGCCGATATCGGGTTTTTGTGAACTGATTAGTTGACACTCTCACACCTATGTAATTATGCCGGCTCGGAATAAGTCTATCTCTCTGTGTAGCTTGTAATAATCACGATGTCTTGACATATCTTAGCTATAACGCGGCATGGAGGGAAAATCGGGACAGTTTGAGCACGTCATTGTGAAGTTCCTGAGATTAGAGCTTTGTGATGAGTTGGTACCGATGTGTGCCCGAGACTGTCGGTTGTTCCCTTCCCTTGTGCCTTCGCTTTTTGTTTGTTTCGCGTTTTTAATGTGGCATTTAAAATAAATATATTTGTGGAAACGCTTGTTCACAAAATCTGTTCTTCAATGACTTCATTGAAATGAATGAATTTAACAAGTCACAAACATATTTGAGTCCAACGATCATTGTTACCACGGTTATAACTCTTTACATAGATAGGTTCGAAATACGAGATTTTAGTTCGAATGGCCGCGTCTTACGATTTGTTCGATATGCGCGATGTTTCACGCCAAACGTAAGCTATCGCGGGGTGTTGAACACATGGTATGTATGTATGCGTGTGTCTTTTTTAATAGCTGTTCTTGGCGACCTAGTATGTTGGAAAGCCTTTCTTACGACCTAACCCTAACAAACAAAAGAAGAGACGGTATTTCGGGTGGAATGTTGCCGATGCATTTCACCACGGCCTATACCGAACAGGTGTCGCCTCTCTCAGTTTCATGCTTTCACTCTAATTAATGTTGATTTTTACATTTCTCCTATCGCTCTGCATTCTGCACAGCGCTCTCCAGTCCCGTCAGCATTCGAGCGAACCCGAGAGTGACAGCCAGCTACCACCGTAGCGGCACGGCGCGCGGCGGCCGACCAACAGCTGACTGGCTGCCGCGGCCGCCGGGCCGGAGGCGGCCGCCGGCGAGCTGTTATTGTACACCGCCTTGTTATTGTCGTTTTTGTTCCGCCGACCTGTTTGGTAGTTGTAAATAGAGTAAACAGCATCATTACATCTTGGCTTCGCCCGGCGTTATGGTCGTCTACTGAGGCGCACAGAGTTATGCGTAAACACTGGTCTGCAACGAGCGTGGCGAGCGCCGGCGGCCGTGCGCGCACGGAGGGGTCGCCGACTTGCGCGGTGCGCCGCCGCGCGCGGCCGGGGCGGGCCGGCGCCGCCCGGAGAAACGTCCGTCCCCGCCCGGGCGGCGGCGGCGGCGGGGGCGGCCGGTCAATGCCCGGTCGCCGGAGGCGGCACCTGTTTTCGTCCGCCGCCCCGCCCGCCGCTCGCTCCCCTGTTTGTCAGCCCGAGTCGTCTCGGCGGCTGCGTAACGGCGCTGCTCGCCGGTATGTGCGTCTGCTGAAAGTGCGTGGATTGTGCGTGGTTTTTCTAGGTGCGCCGCTTGGGAACAGGGGAGGGGAGAAAGAGGGAGGGATGGAAATTCGAACTGGGGATAATGAGAAGGACTGATTACAAGAGCCGAGGAATGAGGAAGGAAGAGATGAGAGATGAAGGAAGTAGACGATCGAATATAGAAGTAACGAGAGTCAAAGGGGAAATCGGTAAAGGAGCTAGAGGGAAAGGAACAGTACAACTGGGAGATGGAGGGGAAAGGCGATCGAGAGAGAGGGCGGAGGGAGAGAGGGAAGCGCCGACTGCCGAGTTGTTTGCGTCGCGCCGGCCGTTGCAGCCGCTGCAGCGCAGCCGACTGCATTCCATCGATCCGCTCGCGGCGGACCGGGCAGATTTCACAGTCGTAGTGAGCTGCGACGGCGAGCTGGAAACAACCGGCATCGGGGCTTACAAGAACATAATTGGGCTTACCTACCAACTACGGAAGCATTGTTTATTGTGACTTACAGGGTGTCCGGAAAGTTCTGGCGCTTTTCAACATTTTCTAAAACAAATGTCATTGGTTCATAGATACTCATTAATGGATCAAAACAGTGACCAGGGACAGCAAGCCACATGCTTCCGCTACGTGCTCATTGAATGTAACCACCGTCGGCGCCGACGACGGCCTCGACGTAGGGGAGGAAGCGCCTGCGGGTTTTGACGATGTGGGGCGTTGCCATTTCCTCCCATGCTGTCATGATGCGAGTCTTCAACGACTCCAGGCTGGGGTGAGAAATGGCCTAGATCCTGTTCTACAAAACGCGTAGCACGCCTTAGTCGAGCGGGTCAGGTTAGGAGAATAAGGCGGCCTAATCTCATTTCGCCACGGTGATCTGGCCCGGCAAGCTCCTCTGTCAAGTCGTCTTGACCCTCGGGTTGATGTGGCTGTCCAGGAACCCCTCGTGGACCAGCCTGTTATTCATTTATTCGACATTGACGAAGATGATGGGACATTTTCGTCAATCAGACCCCCGCAGTTTCTTCGATTGCCGCGCTGAAATGCTGCTCTGTTCTCTGCAGTTTTGACATACCGCGGTCGTACCGGTCTGAGGATATTTTCTAAGGAATTCCCGAGTCGGAATAAGCCTCTACCTGCTAAACCATTCATCGAAAAACACCGCATCGCCCTGCAACTCGCGCCTCGTTCAAGGCGCACCCGGCCGCCGCGCGCAGGCATTCAGCGACAAGGCGCATCTTCGCCCATCTACCCATCACTGAAAACGATTTCAAAGTCATATTTATACGACCCCTAGCTTAGCGGTCAACGAGGGGTCATGTCTGTGGTGATTGGCTGAATGTCCAATAATCACAGCGCGCGTTAGACGGCGTCCAAAAGAAGCGCCAGGACTTTCCGGACACCCTGTATTGTTCGCTCCCATGGCTAACAGCAGAAGCACGCAGATGAGATAGCACGCAAGAGCCTCTGCCGATGTTTTGTTTTGAGCACTTCAGTTAGGTTTGACGTAATGACATGATGTGGAGATGGAATTAAATTGATGAAATACTAGGACTTACTCCACAAGGAGATCGAATGGGTCGGAGCGCTTTCAATATGTATTATACATATCGTCGTCAGCGAATCAATAACGGGTCGAATCGAGTCGGGTATCGAAGAGGTTCGGGAGCTGCGCGGCAGAGCGATCACATACTATTCGAATTATGCATTAAAGAGAATAAAAAACACGTGAGAACAATCATGATACACTAGCTGCTAAAATGAATTAAAATGGGGTGCTAAAATGCATAAATGGCACGTATAAAAGTACAATAAGGGGGGGGGGGGAAACAGGATACCTATGGTGATAAAGACTGAGTAGAAAAGGGAACAAAGACTATACAAAACTGAGTGCAAAAACTGTAAAAGGACGAGTACAAATATAAATACATACAAAGGCCGAACTAGACGTAAACACTACTGACAAAAACGGCGGATTATCGGCAGCCAGCGGTCATGCAGCAGGGCACCCGAGTTCCTGTTCACGTTTGCGTCATTCGGCGACACCAGGACGGCTTCACGCCGACCAACAGTCCGAATATAGGCCGATTCCAGGAGAAGTCGCATCTGGTGATGACTGGCTCGATTCAAGATCTTGATGGCATCGAAAGCAGGTGAGCAGTCTCTATGGGTACTGAAGGCCGATGTATTGGCTCTCGAGCGGACTGCTCCAGTCCAGCTCTCCCGGTGTTCTCGGAGTCTCGTGCCCAGCTCACGATCTGTCTCGCCGATATAGACCATTGGGTCACCGTCCACTTGGCAGGAGCACTCGATCCGATAGATGACGTTGCTCTGTTGTAGCTTAGGCAGATGGTGCTTAGCCTTGCTGCAGAGCAGCGAGCCGATGGTGACTGAAGGCTTGGAGACGAGCTGGATCCCGATCTTGCTGGCCTCCCGTTTGAGTTGGTAGAACAGGGGGCCGGCAAACGGAACAGAGACTCGGACAGGCGCCGGGTGTGAGTTCGCGCTAGGTGGCGCTGGTAGGGCCCTTGCCTTCAGTCTGAGATCGGTCCGAGTCTTCTGAATGGCCGAGTCGATGAATGATCGTGGGTAGCCATGATGATGAAACTTCTGGCGGATGAAGTCGGACCGATCTCAGACTGAAGGCAAGGGCCCTACCAGCGCCACCTAGCGCGAACTCACACCCGGCGCCTGTCCGAGTCTCTGTTCCGTTTGCCGGCCCCCTGTTCTACCAACTCAAACGGGAGGCCAGCAAGATCGGGATCCAGCTCGTCTCCAAGCCTTCAGTCACCATCGGCTCGCTGCTCTGCAGCAAGGCTAAGCACCATCTGCCTAAGCTACAACAGAGCAACGTCATCTATCGGATCGAGTGCTCCTGCCAAGTGGACGGTGACCCAATGGTCTATATCGGCGAGACAGATCGTGAGCTGGGCACGAGACTCCGAGAACACCGGGAGAGCTGGACTGGAGCAGTCCGCTCGAGAGCCAATACATCGGCCTTCAGTACCCATAGAGACTGCTCACCTGCTTTCGATGCCATCAAGATCTTGAATCGAGCCAGTCATCACCAGATGCGACTTCTCCTGGAATCGGCCTATATTCGGACTGTTGGTCGGCGTGAAGCCGTCCTGGTGTCGCCGAATGACGCAAACGTGAACAGGAACTCGGGTGCCCTGCTGCATGACCGCTGGCTGCCGATAATCCGCCGTTTTTGTCAGTAGTGTTTACGTCTAGTTCGGCCTTTGTATGTATTTATATTTGTACTCGTCCTTTTACAGTTTTTGCACTCAGTTTTGTATAGTCTTTGTTCCCTTTTCTACTCAGTCTTTATCACCATAGGTATCCTGTTTCCCCCCCCCCCCTTATTGTACTTTTATACGTGCCATTTATGCATTTTAGCACCCCATTTTAATTCATTTTAGCAGCTAGTGTATCATGATTGTTCTCACGTGTTTTTTATTCTCTTTAATGCATAATTCGAATAGTATGTGATCGCTCTGCCGCGCAGCTCCCGAACCTCTTCGATACCCGACTCGATTCGACCCGTTATTGATTCGCTGACGACGATATGTATAATACATATTGAAAGCGCTCCGACCCATTCGATCTCCTTGTGGAGTAAGTCCTAGTATTTCATCAATTCAGTTAGGTTTATTACACTTTATCTCAAGGCAATGATAAAAAAGTATAAGCATTAACAAATTCAAGCATCATATTCATCAATGTAGTAAAAGGTGCGCTTAAAATATTGCATTCCAAATTGAACGTTTTAGACGCGACATTTGACTGATAAGACGTGAGGACTGAGGGTAATGTGGTAGGTAATGCATCGTCAATAAATTTTCTGTTTCCGCGTACCTACAACGCCGCCAATGGGCAGCAAAGGCAAACTGAAGTCCAATTGATCAAGTGCATCAGTGGTCACTGGTCATGCCGTCATCGTAGGCGTGGGTATTATCAGGAATCAAAAGCCAGGAC